AGTTAAAACAAGGATGGACACAACGTAACATTCCAGTGTATATATTCCTAACAATTTGTTCCTCATCATACATATAGTTCTTAATCTCTCTATATACATATTTTCCTATACAATACAGTCTCTAATTTGTTTCTCTATATACTGACATACAGTTTTATATATCTCTATCTTAACACTAACTTAAAACCCGAACAGTTCTCCTTGATTCACACCAACAATAGAATTTGTCCCAGATTTCAAAGTAATCTGACTCTGTCTTGTCTTTCATTTCCATTGTGAGCCTATCCATATCAGCACACGATAGGATTTTATATAAAATCTCTTCTTCTGTTGGAATTTTTTTCTTCCTCCAGTTTTGTGCATACGCCAATCTAGCAGCTGTGAGAATATGTAGCATCAAGTAAAGTATCTCTTTGTCGTATTTCTGCATAGTTATGCCTAGTAGGAAGAGTTATGGTTTTAGCTCTACCTCTATCATTAGTATTTCTTCCAGCCATTTTTTTAACCTTGTTCCAAAAGTCACGGGCTTTTGAGCACTCCCACCACATATGGTAATATGTCCCTCTTGCCAATTTACATTTCCAGCACATGGAAGAAATATTTGGACCCATTTTAGCTAATCTTATCTGTTGTCTTGATTAGCAACAGAAATGTTGGGCTCAAATATGGTCATAAATTGAGGATTACCTGTGGTTATAAGATTCCACTTAACAATATCTTCAGGGCCTTGGCGAAAACTATGGGACAGAAACATTAAATTGACTAAAGCAGCTTCATATAAAGAAAATTTGTATAAAATGCTTTACAGATGGCACATGACACCAATAAGCCTAACAAAAACGTTTAAAAATGTTTCGAATAACTGTTGGAAGTGTAAACAAAAACCAGGCACTTATTATCACATCTGGTGGGTGTGCCCCAGTGCAAAGACATTCTGGCGTAAGGTTCATATATGGTTGGAAAAGTTAACTAAAATACACATAGAATTTAGGCCAGAATTGTTTCTGCTAGGAATATTAGGATCTAATTATGGAAAAGTGAATGAGTATTTAATATTACATATACTGACAGCTGCAAGAATAGCATTTGCCCAATACTAGAAAAAATGAATTATAATCTCATCAGATGAGATTATAATTAGGAAAATCTTAGAATGTGTAGAAATGGATAGATTAACGTTAGAGATTAAAGAGAAAGAAGACTCAGTCTATTATAAAACATGGGAAAACTTTTATCAATAGTTAGCAAAATGAGATAATGAAACTGAAATTTATTAAGATGATTGATTTTTTTCTTTGACTAATTGATATGCTTTATAATTTCTGTTAGTTTTGTTGACTACTGTTACTGATTATTATATTAGCCCTGTGGAATACTTCTATCCAGATGATAGCTTGCTTGTTAAAGTGTGAAATGTTATTGGGGGGAACCCCATTGGTGTACCCTAAATCCTTCCTTGAACCCTACCCTGAACCCCACCATTCATAATCACCCTTGCTTTTCCCCACCCTGAAAAAACTTAATAAAATATATTTTTTAAAAAAAACCCAATATCTTCAGGGCTACGTCATCATCTTAAAAAGAAGAAAAAAAATCCTGCTGTTTTAGCTGCAGGTGTTACATAGCAACGGTATATACCTCGCAATAATTGTTCCATTTTGCAAAGAATGAAAGCTTCAGTCTACTCTTCCTTTTGCAGCAGTAGCTGATTTGAACTGGCTTGTAGGAAGAAAATAGTAGGATTTAATTTCCACCCATCCACCCCCTTTTTTTTCTTTTTAAGAAAAAACCCTTAGTATGCTGGGTCATCTTTACTTCCCATATCTGATACTTTTAAACTTGAAAATATGGAACATCGGGAACTTTCCTTTGCGTTCACCTTGCTGTGGTGACCCTTCATTTAACCCAACGTTGAACTGAACTTTTTACGATCAGACTCCTCCTAATCACATCGGACATTTCAAAGAATATTCCCTTCTCTCTCCCCCCCCCCCTCCTTTTAAAAAGGCTTGCCATGAATTGGCAATATATTGTCTGCCTTTAGCATTGCCAAAAAAAAAAAAAAGTCTTTTGTTTTGGGGAAGCTGCTGGACTGCATATTAGTATACCTTTAAATTAATATTTAACTATTTTTGACATCTGCCAAGTTAAAAGGCGTTCTGAAACAAAGCATCCTACTATTGAGAAGGTTTGTGAAATTTGCATTAAACCTGTTTCGCTAGGGAAGGTTGCCCATTAAATTAGGGTTAACAGGAGAAGATGGATTGGTTATATTCAAAAGAAATATGAAGCTGAAAAGTATTACCTTGCTTTTGAGTAGATTTTAGATCATTATTAATAGTTTTAATTATATTATTATTTTTGTTTTAATTTGTTAATATTTGTTTTGAGAAGGAGTTAAAGTGTGTTATGGTTTTGATTGATAGTATAGTTGGTTTATGTTAGTTAGATTATGTTTGTTTATTTGTTACCCTGTGATCAGCTCTGGGAAGTGGGGGAGGAGGGAAGGGGTGAGGGGTGGGGGGGTTTATATTGTAATAAATTTGTAAAACTTTTAATAAAAAAAAATAGGGTTAACAGGACGTTGTTTTCTATGTCTCTCTGTGGTTGATGAATGGATTATGACCTAACCCAAGTTTAAGTTTTGCAAGTTTTTGTCCAATCAATATTTGCCTGTAACTTATTTAGTGTATTCAGCATTCACTGATGACAAATCTTTCCTTTATGAATTCCCCAAAACTCTGGTTTTAAAGCTAATGACATTCACGGAATTGATTTGCAATGTATTTTGAGCTATCAGAATTTAACTTTCTCATCCTAGTCATCTGGTTGTTGCATCACCTCCGTTCAAATGTGATGTGATCAGACCGTCCTTTTTTTACCAGTTTCTGAACTGAGTTCTCGGTCTCTTACATACCGTTCCAGGAACTTCACTTTTTACGGAAAAATAAACCAGTCCTCTGGATTTGTGTTTGAAAGGCTCTTGAGGGGGAAAAACCCCCTGTGTTTAGAAATACTTGGTGGCCAATTACCTCCTCCGGTTCAACTGAATGGATGGCTCTTAGCCCAGAGGCATGGTTTAGAACAGTGGTTCTCAACCTTTTTAATGCCGCGACCCCCAACTGGTCGTAAGTCGAGGACTACTCAACCGGTCATAAGTTGAGGACTACTCAACGGGTGCAGCACCGTTTGCAGAATGAGACTTTTGGCGGGCTCAGCAGGGCAGAGACAGCCTGGGCAATTCCTATTGGCTTTTGAAAGCCAATAGAATTAGACTGTATTCAAGAGAGTCTATTTTATTGGCTTTCAAAAGCCAATAGAATAAAAGGGAGTAGCACAACTAAGGAAAAGGGGAAAAGAAAATGGCGGACTGCATTGTTTGGCGACCCTCGTGAAATGGTCGTTCGACCCCAAATGGGGTCCCGACCCACAGGTTGAGAACCACTGGTTTAGAAGATGAGTTTGCAAAAACATTTAATCAGATTGGTCAAAGACCCTGCAACTTGATTTTTATAACCTGCAAAGTTTGTTAACTTTAGCTTGAGTTATTTTATGATCCAGTGCATAATATCCTGCTTTAATCCAGTAAAATAGGTTTTGGGAAGACAACCCTAAATGGAATGTTAGAAAGATGGCTGGATGTGGTGAGTTTAACAGAATAACAGAGTTGGAAGGGACCTTTGAGGTCTTCTAGTCCAACCCTCTGCTCAAGCAAGAAACCCTATACCATTTCAGACAAATGGTTGTTCAATTTCTTCTTAAAACCTCCAGTGTTGGAGCACCCATAACTTCTGGAGGCAAGCAGTTCCATTAGTTAATTGTTCTCACTGTTAGGACATTTCTCCTTAGTTCTAGGTTGCTTCTTTCCTTGATTAGTCTCCATCTGTTGCTTCTTGTCTTGCCTTCTGGTGCTTTGGAGAATAAGTTGACCCCCTCTTCTTTGTGGCAGCCCTTCAAATATTGGAAGACTGCTATCATGTCACATCTAGTCCTTCTTTTCATTAAACTACCCAACTCTAGCAACCATTCATACTTTTTAGCTTCCAGTCCGGTAGTCATCTTTGTTGCTCTCCTTTGCTTGTTTGAATGATTTCTCAACAGAACTTGTAGCAAGTAATGCCATCCTACAGATATTGGGAACAAGAGAGATGGCAAAGCAGGGAGCAGATGTTGGCTAAAGGAACACTGAGCATGGACTTTTATTCTCTTGGGATGTCGGGTTTGCGTGAATGTGCTGACTGCTTCTTGCTGAAAGAAATAAGCATCATGAAATACAAAAGCTTGCTCTTCCCTTTGAAGAGAAACCAAATCTAGTGGTTTGCCTCAGCTGTGAACTCAGCCCTTACAACAGCTATTTGGACTTCAACTCCCAGGATCTTCTAGCCCTGAGGTCCCCAACTTTCTGGGCACCAGGGACCCGTGCCATGGAGAAAGGTTTTTCCATGGACCAGAGGGGGTGTGGTTTTGAATACTGCCTGCATCTCAAGAATGGAGCTTTGCTTGTTTGTGTGGCCCGCTTATTGATATGCTGTGGACTGGTGCTGGTCCACAGACTGGGGGTTGGTGTCCTCTGTTCTAGCCAGCATGGAGGCTGGAGGGTTCTGGGAGTTGAAGTCCTTGTCCCTTTGAGAAACGTTGAGAAACTCTACCTTAAGGTACAGAGTATACAGTATTATTGGGAATATTGACCTGGGTGGACCAACCGGTAGCAAAACAATGAGGCGTTGAGAAGGGAAAACTTGTTCTTGAATGGTCACTAAATGAACTGTTGTAACATGAGGACTCTTCCTACTCTCAAGTTACTCTGCCTTGCAAAAGGCAATCAAATCAAGTTGGATCTCACTTGGATCTTATCTCACTTGGATCTTTTCACTGGATCAGCAGGAAGTGGTTCAGCTGAGATTGTTCCTGGATGCTCAAATTTAACTCGAGACTTAGTTTTTCTTAAGAATTCCAGAAGTTGTCCAGATGTCTCTTTAACATTGTCCCGTCTTTCCCAGGCGTTCTTCTTGGGCCTTATTCTCCTTCCTCTACGCATTGTGTTCATCCTGCTCCTGGTGGTCCTGGCATGGCCTTTTGTACTTCTGGCGACATCCCGTGGCACTGAAAAAGGCTTGCTACCACTTCGAGGATGGAAAAGGTAATATGGGAAATATCTAAAGACTATTATTATTTTTTTCATGGAGGCATCGCCTGATCATAAAAGAGCACAGAACGTGAAACAATTTGGATAACGTCTGCAGTCTTCCTGGATCATTTATTATCAGCAACATCTTAATTTTCATTCTGCCATGAAATTAAAATTGACTCTACACAAATCACTCCTGTTTGTGTTTGTAAATGTAGCTTAGGAACCCAATGATGCTCAGAGGTCTACAGGTAATGAGAAATTTGGACCAATTCCAACATTTTGGAGCAGCCCTGGATTAAAAGCTCACAAATATGCAATGTTGGATGGACTTCATTTTGCCCTGTTTATAGCAAGCAGAACTGAAGGATTGCAATGTTTTCGTTTTCTTTTCCTTCTGAAAAATGAATCTATATGACTCTAAGCTTCTTGTTTTAAGATTGGAAGACGTGTGTCTCAATATTAGCTTGCACGTGATGTTATGGTGTCAGTGATAACAATGTTTATTTGATAACTATCTTTAGTTTTTTCAGTATTAAGAAATCTGTCCCAAAAATCTCTATTTCTGTCTATCCACCCATTTCTTTTAACTTTGTTAAGTGATCTCTTGCAATGATACATAAATATTAATGCAAGAAGTACCATTCCTTGTATGGTATTATATAAATGTAACAATTAATAAATCCATATGACTCTAAAATTCCTGTTTTAAAATTGGAAGATGTGTGTTTCAGCGTTAGCTGACATGTGCTATTATGGTGTTAAAATAGCATCATAAATACAAGTGGTCCTCACTTAACGACTGATCACTTAGTGACACTTCAAAATTACAACAGAGAATTCCCCCCCCCCAAAGATACTTATGACTCAGTTCTGGAGTTCTGACAGCTGTACACCCAACCGCCCCGCTGATGGTCACATGTACGCATTTTGAGTACTTGTCAACCAGCTCATGTTTATGATCGGTTACAATATTCTGCAGACACTTCACGCTACTTAGGATTTTTCTGTGCTGGAAGTTGGCTGTTTTGTCTATTTTCCAGCAAAAAAAACCCCAAACAAATAGCTCCATGGAAATACATGGATTCACTTTATGACTCCGTCGTTTGCTTTATGACTGCCACAAAAAAAAGGTGGTAAAATTGTATTGCTCACCTGGGTGCCTCGACTTAGGATTGTCACAAGTTATGACAGAAAATTCTGGGCTCCATTAACATTGTAAGTCGAGGACTTACCTTTACAGGACTCGGTTTCCCTATGTAAAAACCCAGGAGAGTTTTTCGCTGTTGTAAATGGAAAGTTCGATATAGAAAAAGGGATCTTCTACATGGATCATAAAATAACGGCAGGGCAGAAAAAGCAATTGTTGTTAGTTGTGAAGTCGTATCTGATCCATTGCGACCCCATGGACAACGTTCCTCCAGGCCTTCCTGTCCTCTACCATCATCTGGAATCCATTTAAGCTCAGGCCTGCTGCTTCAGTGACTCCATCCAGCCACCTCATTCTCTGTCGTCCCCTTCTTCTCTTGCCCTCCATCTTTCCCAGCATTAGGCTCTTCTCCAGTGAGTCCTTCCTTCCCATTAGGTGGCCAAAGTATTTGAGTTTCAACTTCAGGATCTGGCCTTTTAAAGAGCAGTCAGGGTTGATCTCCTCTAGGACTGACTGGTTTGATCGCCTTGCAGTGCAGGGGACTCGCAGGAGTCTTCTCCAGCACCATAGTTCAAAGGCCTCCATTCTTTGGCGCTCAGCCTTTCTTATGGTCCAACTTTCACAGCCATACATTGCAACTGGGAAAACCATGGCCTGGACTATACGCACTTTTGTTGGCAGGGTGATGTCTCTGCTTTTTAGTATGCTGTCTAGATTTGCCATAGCTTTCCTCTGCAGGAGCAAGCGTCTTTTAATTTCTTGGCTGCAGTCCCCATCTGTGGTGATCTTGGAGCCCAGGAAGATAAAATCTGTCACTGCCTCCATTTCTTCCCCATCTATTTGCCAGGAATTGAGAGGGCCGGATGCCATGATTTTGGTTTTCTTAATGTTGAGTTTCAAGCCAACTTTTGCACTCTCCTTCTTCATCCGCATCAGGAGGCTCTTTAGTTCCTCTTCACGCTAAGGTGGCAACTTCTTCCTAATTTCTGAGTTTTGAGGTTTCCTGCTTCAGTAGCCCCCAACATGACTTTAATAGACTAGACTGGCATAATGAGAAGAGAACATTGCTTTCTCGGTGAGCTTAATCATTGTTATTTTCTACCCAATCTTTCTGGAACATGATCACCCGATAGATTTACCTGGCTAGCAGAGCGTGGTGGCTCCCATCACGTTATTCCAAAGAGATTGAGTGATCCATTTTATGCTTCCTCTGTAGAGTAGAGGGGGTCATTCTTCCTTGTTGAGCCTCATCTTGGTTTCCTTCGAAATACATCAGATTTTTTTTTAAATGAATAGTTTTCTGCCCAGTCTAGTAAACGAGGGCTAATATCGACTCTATTATTTGCCCTGAATTTTACTGCCCCATTTTATGGTTTTATTGCAAACGCTATACTTTTCATACTGTACGTATGAACCTTGTGGGTTTGTTTGAGTTGTAAGTTTTGTTTGTTAATAGTTTGGTAATAGTGTGATAGGCTGTTCTCTGCCCCCCAACATCCCAAGCAATGAAAAGGTCTGGAAGTAAATCAATAAAGATGCAAATGAATAATTAGGACAAATACTGACTCACTGGCTGGGAATGGGGATTGTGCCAGTCAAGCATGTGTAAATCTTGGAAATAGCTTCAGGATTTGCTTTTGTTCAAATGGGGAGAGGAATCTGGCATGGAGCTATGCCTTATAGAGTTAGGGGAAATAGAGGAATACTTTGTGTGTGTGTGTGTTTTGTGCATGTGTATACAATTCATATTTACATTTGAGTCAGTGTTGATCCTTGGCACTTCCTGGATAAGTTCTCTCCCTGTTGTTTTCTTGGCAAAATTTCAGAAGTAATTTTCATTGCCTCCTTTCTAGGGCAGTGAGAGAAGGACTGGCCCAAGGTCACCCAGCTGGCTTTGTGCCTAAGGCGAGACTAGAACTTAGTCTCCTGGTTTCTAGTCTGATGTCTTAAACCAGGGGTGGGCAATTATGGCCCTCTTTACGACCAGTGGACGTCAACGCCCAGAATTCCTGAGCCAGCATGGCTGGCTCAGGAATTCTGGGAGTTGAAGTCCACAAGTCAAAAAAGGGGCCATAATTGCCCACCCACCCTCGCTTTAACCACTAGACCAAACTGGCTTTGTGTTGCACCTGCTTCCCTTTAATTATGGACGAAGCTTCCATCCCTAAGGTCATTAAACATGTCATCATGCAGTTGTTTTGATGACTATTTCAGCCGTGGTCGTTAATGAATCAAGCAGTTATTAAGCAAATCTGATTCTCCATGCGGACACTGGTTGGAAACACACACACACATACACACACACACCCTGGAAGGTCACAAATGGTCATCACGTGACTCTGGTCATGCTGCAACCATTGTACACAACGGCTAGTTGCCAAGCTCCTGTGATTTGCGAGGACACTGCGATAGTTGCGAATGTAAAGACTCTCAGTCAGTCACTCTTTTAGTGCCATCGTAGACACAGAAGGTTGCTCAACAAATGGTTGTAAACCTGTAGTTAGGAATAAAATGTCTGCAAGCAAACCGCCACGTTCAGACAACCTTATCTATTCATTTTTATATACCTGAAAGAAGCGAGTCCCAGTTTCTGACTTCAGTGTAGGGGAAATAGTCCCCTGGAATGATGGAAAATGAATGTAGGAAGGGTGACTTAGGAACAAATAAAATAACAACTCTCTCTTTATTTTTCTCCAAGGAGACTATCCAACATCGGCCTTATCATCTTTGGCCAAGCCTTGTTCTTTGCGATGGGCTTCCACGTCAAAGTCAAAGGGAAAGTCGCTAGTCCTCAACAGGCACCAATCTTAGCAGTAGCTCCACACTCGAGCTTTTTTGACAGCATCGTTTGTGCTGTGGCAGGCCTGCCCTCGGTGGTCTCCAAGGAAGAGAATATCTGGGTGCCCATTTTTGGCCGTAAGTGCCCTGGCAAAACTCGAGCAAACCAACACCTTTCCTTCACCAATTTAGTTGCAAATTATTATTATTTTGAACAGGGTTCCTTGATGCCCTCCAGCCTGTGCTGGTCTCACGGAGTGACCCAGATTCTCGGAAGCATACTATCCATGAAATAACGAAACGGGCAACCTCAGGAGAACAATGGCCTCAGGTACCATGGCCCATTTCTTTAGCTCAGCCACTCTTCGTATTCTCAGGAGCTTCGGAAAGCTTCAGGGGAAGGAAGTTTTGCTTTCCTGCAGAAAATAACTGAACTGTTTTTTTTTCTTGGGGAAGAAATAGGTTGTGGCGTTGTTTCAAATCCTCCCTGGCTGGGTTTAGCTGAATCTGCCCGCTTGGTTTTCCCTAAGCTTGCATTGCCTTTGTGTTTCTTCCATCTTGTTTGCAAAAACAAGACAAGTTTAGCGTGGGGGTGGGCGAAGCAAAACAAATGGGTCTTGAATCATGGTTGGCATTGCATTCAGAACAGAACCACAGAGTTGGAAGGGACCTTGGAGGTCTTCTAGTCTAACCCCCTGCTCAACCATTTCAGACAAGTGTCTGTCCAATCTCTTCTTAAAAGCTCCAGGGATGGAGCACCCACAACTTTTGAAGGCAAGGCTTCACACTGATGAATCATTCACACTTTTAGGAAGTTTCTCCATAGTTTCATGTTGCTTCTGCCCTTGATTAGCTTCCATCCATTGTTTCTTGTCTTGCCTTCTGGTGCTGACTCTTCTCTGGAAGGACAGATACTGAAGTTGAAGCTTAAATATGAGAAGAGAAGGAAAGAATCTGAGGAATTATCACTCAATCAGGCCAAACTTGCAGAATAATTAAACATGAATGATATCTCTGTTTTTCTGATTTTCTTTCTTTCTTTCTTTCTTTCTTTCTTTCTTTCTTTCTTTCTTTCTTTCTTTCTTTCTTTCTTTCTTTCTCTCCCCTGCATTCCAGGTAATGATTTTCCCAGAAGGAACGTGCACAAACCGATCGTGTTTGATCACTTTTAAACAAGGTGAGGAAGGCTTTGCTGGGTGACTTATTTTGGAAAACCAGAAGGAATAGTTCAGGATGTATGTCAGACATTTCAAAGTTTGTTAGGGATGTGTTAGAATTTTCTGTTTTTTTTGTTGCAGCAATGTAATTTATTTATTTATTTATTTATTTATTTATGAGACTTATATACCGCTTTAAGTGCAAGCACTCTCTAAGCGGTGTATACCAGTAAGCAATGTGTATATATATATTTACATTGCCCCCAACAATCTGGGTCCTCATTTTACCTACCCTGGAAGGATGGAAGGCTGAGTCAACTTGAGCCGGAGAGATTTGAACCGCTGACCTGCTGAACACAGTCAGCTAAAGTGGCCTGCAGTACTGCACTCTAACTGCTGCGCCACCTCGGCTCATGTAATTGAGCAGTAAAGCACACGGTGATTGTACTTTTGGTTTGCTGTATGTGGTGCTTTATACAAACAGAATTTCTAACAGGATGCCACAAGGGAAAGAGAGAAAATGAGGGGCTGGGTGAAATAAAAAATGCCTCCTTTGTGAGCATTGGGGAACTTTTTTTCATGTTCATTTTATTCTGAGGTAAATAGATATTAGTTACTTTCTGTGACTGCTGGAGTTCCCAAGTTAAAGATGCTTTTATTTTCAGGAGCTTTTATTCCTGGGGTTCCTGTTCAGCCTGTGCTTATTCGCTACCCCAACAAAGTGGTAAGTTTTGAATTCAGACAGAAGGAGATTCTCTCTTGAAATTCCTTTGCACACTTTGGCCACTGGGGAAATTAGCTCAAATGTGCAGGTAGTCCCTGATTTATGACCAATTGCTTAGCAATCGTTCAAAGTTGCAATGGATTTGTTAGAGTTTCCTGTTTTCTGTTGCAGTAATATAGTTGAGCAGTAAAGCACATGGTGACTGTACTGTTTATTTGCTGTACCTTGGGCTGCTCTGACCCAAGATTCAAATTCACGTGTCCAACCTCAAGCACTCGGCAACACAACTGTGTTTATGGATGCTGTTTGAAGTGTCGGTTGCTCACTGTGACTGTGTTTTACGGCAATTTTACCGGAAATCGGCTCTTCCAATTTTTCAGCAAAACCATACCCATACAGGATCATTGGTTTGCTTAACGGCTGCGGTGTTTGCTTAAGGACTGCCACAAAATTGGTTGTAAAATTTGAGTTAGTCACGTGGCTGACCCGTTTTGCAACCCTCACAACTTTAAGACCATGATGGGCAGGCTCCATTAGGATAATCAGTCTAAGTCTAAGATAAAATAAAATGTCAAGTTCAGTCGAGAAATGGTATTTGCCCCTTTCAAAGACCCACCACTGAAAGAATAATTACATTTTGTTGCTTGCGAGGACACCGCATGGAAGCGTTTCCTTCTGTTGTGCTGACTGGCGATTCTGTGATTTAAATTATAATTCTAGCACCACCGAAACACAAAGTTTTTGATGTAGGAGAGCTCTGCTTCCTTCTCCCACCTGCAGTGGCTGAGGGTTCCCTTAAAATGTACAGTATATTGTTTTGCACTAAATTTATTTCAAGGGATAAGAGAATTTTGGAGACATTCAGTGTGGGGTTTTTGACTTAGTGATGCAACGTGAAATGAAATGACTTCACTGTGGACAATGAAGTCAAAAGTATGTTTGCATGAATGCCTTTCATTCTGTTATTGCTTCCCCAGTGATTGCTAATCTCTGTCTTCTGATATTAAAATTCAGTCACTGATAGATACATCAGCAACGCATCTGTTGTTGTTACTAAAATAGTCTTGTCTGCAAAAAAAAAAAGTTGTTAAAGAATTTCTTTGTCTCTTGAATAATTCTGCAAAGTTGGCCACCCAAGCTTTCTGCCCTTAAATTTGGTGCGGACCTTCAAAAGCCGTTTGTGGCTACCTTTCTTGCTATTGAAAAATCTTTACTTCCCAGCCTTGATTCATTTTGTGATCATGTCTTCTTATTGTCTAATAAATCCTTTCTCTTTTATTCCCTGTCATTTAATTCCTCCAGGATACTGTGACATGGACCTGGCAAGGATACAGCTTGTAAGTCAAATCCTTTGAACAGAAATGTACTTTCTACAGACTTATTCATGTTTGGCTGAATTAGTTGAATGCAACCATTTTGAGCTTGGTTGCCTTCTGGAAATAGTTACACAGATCAAAGGGTTTGTGGTGGCAGTTGGTAATAATGATAATGATGGAGCAGGTGATTCTCCTCTTCCTACTCCTACTCCTCCTCCTCTTTCTCCTCCATCTCTTCTTCCTCCTCCTCTTTCTCCTCTATCTCTTCTTCCTCCTCCTCTTCCTCCTCCATCTCTATCTCTTCCTCCCCATCCTCCAAATGCTGAATGCTTCAGAGCAACTTTTTAAAATATTTCCTTCCTTTCTTTTTCAGCAAGCAGGCCTTAGTGCTGACTTTGTGCCAGCTCTTTACGAAAGTTGAAGTGGAGGTAAGAAAGAAAGATGGCTTTTCAGTCTGGTTAAGCAGATTGGGTCCATTTCTTGCTTATTGGGGGGCGTGGAGGAAGAGACGGAAAGAGAGAGAAAGGAAAGAAAGAGAAGTGAGAGAAAGGAAGAGGGAAGGAAGGAAGGAAGGAGGAAAGAAAGAAAGAAAAAAGAAAGAAAGAAAGAAAGAAAGAAAGAAAGAAAGAAAGAAAGAAAGAAAGAAAGAAAGAAAGAAAGAAAGAAAGAAAGAAAGAAAAAGAGTGAGCCTTTTTGTCTGTTTGGTGTTTTAATTCTAAGAGGTTTTCTCAACATGGTGCAAAATAAAACCTCATTTTTGAAGCAGCGGGCTTTTCTTTCTTAAGTGTGTAGCCCCCTCTTGTGGCAGACAGAATTAACTTCCCAGGCTGAGGAATGAATTAACACTGTTGGACCATTATGCATCTTTCACTGAAGTTGCCCTTCCTTATTTTTCAGTTTCTTCCTGTTCATGTCCCATCTGAGGCAGAAAAGAAAGACCCCGTCCTTTTCGCTAACAAAGTCCGTAACAAGATGGCAAGGTCAGTATTTGTGGGGGAATATTTCTTTATTTGCAGTGGAGATGTGCGAGCATGTTGCTGCATCTTGACTGCAATTATCTAGAGATAGGTGGAAAGACTTTACTTTTACAATCTGGATCTGGGAGCACTAATACAGATCCTTCCTTCCTTTTCTCATCTTCCTTTCTTTTCCCTTTGTCTCCTTTCCTTCCTTCCTTCCTTCCTTCCTTCCTTCCTTCCTTCCTTCCTTCCTTCCTTCCTCCCTCCCTCCCTCCCTCCCTCCCTCCTTCCCTCTCTCCTTCCCTTCTTTGCTTGCTTGCTTGCTTCCTTCCTCCCTCCCTCCCTTCCTCCCTCCCTCTTCTTCTGTCTCTATGTATCTTTCTTTCTATCTCCTTTCTTCTTCCCTCCCTCCCTCCCTTCTTTTTTTCTTTTTTTATCTCTGCTTCTCTCACTCTCACTCTCTGCCATTTGGCCATGCAGGTGCTTAACATTTTTAGACACTGGGAAATAACGAATCAATAGATTTGGAACAGCTTGCCTTCTGAACTTGTGGGTGCTTCATCATGGGAGGTTTTAAAGAAGAGATTGGACGGTGATTTGTCCAGAATGATATAGGCCCTCCTGCTTGAACAGGGGGTTGGACTCGAAGACCTTCAAGGTCCCTTCCAATACTTGTATTCTGTCATTCAGAAAAATTACCGCTTGAAGAGGCGAGAAATTTCTTGCAAAGACCAACGAAATGATTGCATTTGAATGCATCGGTCTTTTTCCTGGAGAGCCTTGCGATTTTTATATGCTCTTATAGTTTTGTATTAAATATGCCTTATATTTGAATTTTGTCGAAGTTCTCCAGGTGTCGCCTCCCACAGTCAGCTTAGCCGTGGCGTTTGGGCAGCTGCTTTGAGTTTAGTGCTGAACTGATTTTCTGGATGTGTCTTTCCATCGCAGCGCTTTGGATGTGCCCGTCACAGATCACACTTACGAAGATTGTCGGCTGATGATTTCGGCTGGGAAGTTAACTCTCCCCATGGAAGCTGGTTTGGTCGAATTCACAAAAATCAGCAAGAAGTTGAAGTAAGTAGGAGAGCTCACCTCACAGGGTAGTTTGTTGTGGGAAAAACAGGAGGAGGAAGGAATACAGGAAGTTCTCAACTTACAACAGCTCATTTTCAGCAGCACTGAAAAAAAATGACCATTTAATAATAATAACAACAATAACAACAACAACAATAATAGTAATAAAGTTGGAAGGGACCTTGGAGGTCATCTAGTTCAACCTCTTGCTCAGGCAGGAAACCCTATACCATTTCAGACAAATGGAACCAGTGGAACAACCTGCCTCCAGAAGGTTTTTAAGAAGAGACTGGACAGCCATTTGTCTGAAATGGTATAGGGTTTCCTGCCTGAGCAAGGGGTTGGACTAGTTGACCTCCAAGGTCCCTTCCAACTTTATTATTATTATTATGGATCATCGCACAGTCAGCCAGATGTTCAGACTGGATTTGGCATTTTGTCTACCTATCGAGTCCTTACCCAGGACCTGGGATAGGCAGATGTGGATGTTTGGTGGTATTACAGATATCGTCGCAGGATGGAAGCAGTTCCTAGTAAGGCCGCCTTTTGCAATTGACTAATAGCAAATTTGTCAATGCCAATGGTGTTCAAGGGGATGCTCCAGTTGTTTTGGGATTGCACCCAAGGAGCCTATTACTATTGGTACTACCCTTGCTTGCTTTTGCCACAGTCTTTTTATTTCTATTTGTAGGTCTTTGTATTTTGTTATCTTCTCCAGTTCTTTCTCTTCTATTCTGCTGTCTCCAGGCACTGCCACATCCACTATCCAGACTTTTTTGTCTTTCTTATCGACAATTGTTAAGTCTGGGGTGTTATGTTGTTGTTGTTGTTGTTGTTATTATTATTATGGATCATCACACAGTCAGCCAGATGTTTAGACTGGAATTGGCATTTTTTCTACCTATCGAGTCCTTACCAAGGACCTGGGATAGGCAGATGTGGATGTTCGATGTTATTGCAGATATTATCACAGGATGGAAGCTGTTCCCAGTAAGGCTGCCTTTTGCAATTGACTAATGACGAATTTGTCAATGCCAATGATGGTGTTCAATTGGTGCTCCAGATGTTTTGGGATTGCACCCAAGGCTGCTGCTGCTGCTATTATTATTATAATTATGATGATGATGATGTCATTTTTTCAGTGCCCTTTTTTCACCCTGATGACCGTTGCAGCATCCTCAGGATCATGGGACTTATATTCGGACGCTTGGCGCTGATTCACATTTATGATGGTCGCAACGTCCTGGGGTCACGTGATCATCTTTTGTGACCTTCTGATAAACAAAGTCAATGGGGGAAGCCAGATTCACTTAACAACTAGATTACTAATTTAACAGCTGCAGTGATTTACTTAACAACAGTGGCGAGAAAAGTTGTAAAATGGGGCAAAAGCCACTTAACAAATGTCTCGCTTAGCCACATAAATTCTGGACTCAGTTGTGGTGGTCAGTCAAGGACTCCCTGTACACTTAGCCCTCAACCGATGACCACAGTTGACCCCCGAGTTTACACTGCTAAGTGAGACAATTGTTAAGACACTTTTGCGCCTTTTTACAACCTTCCTTGCCACCGTTGTTAAGTGAGTCTCTGCAGTTGTTAAGTTAGGAGCAGGGTTGTTAAGTGAACCCTAACTTCCCCATTGTCGGAAAGTCGTAAAAAGGGGATCACATGACTCCGGGACACCGCAAAGGTCATAAATATGAGTCAGTTTGCCGAGTCTCTGAATTTTGATCACCTGACCACGTGGGGATGCTGCAGCGGTCGTCAGTGTGAAAAATGGCCATAACTCACTTTTTTCCAGCGATGTTGTAATTCTGAACGGTCACTAAATGAGCTGTTGTTAAGTCTAGTGCAGGGGTAGGCAACCGTGGCTCTTTTATGACTCGTGGACTTCAACTCCTAGATATGTTTGTTGCCATGCGTTATTTATAAAAATAATAAAGGTGGGATGTAAATAATATACATGGAGGAAGAGAACTGGATGTTCCCTGCCTGGCCAGAGAGCTTGCAGGGAGCCAGGGAAAAGCTGATGATCCTGAATCTCCAGCCTGGGATTTGGTTTCTGGCATCTACTGCTCATCGGTTGAACTTTCTCTGGCTATAAATAGGAATCGGCGACATTGAAGCTGACACGAAACCTTCGTAAGGTTGGGAAAAACCTCCCGGGTGGGCTCAGTTGGACTTCTTAGAGAGCGTTGTAGGCATCTTTAGGGATTATCAAAGAGCTTCCAGTGGGTGGGTTGAAATATAGTGACCATTTCCCAGAAAGCCGATGGTCCTTTAAATCCATAGGGAAATTTCTTGACAGCCCATTTGTGTCCTTTTTTCCCCCTGGAGCAAGTGGATGCAAAGCTGTGGACTGCAGTGGCTTTTATCTTTGCTTTTTGTTCTGGTGTCTCTTTTCACTTCTTTCTGTGCCAGAAGGGCTTCTGTGGGGTGCAGATAGATTTTTGGAGAGTGGGGTGGGGGCGAAGACCAGCAATTGGCTTTTCAGAAGGCCAGATTCCTATTAGGAAGGAAGAAAGAAAGAAAGAAAGAAAGAAAGAAAGAAAGAAAGAAAGAAAGAAAGAAAGAGAAAAAGAAAGAAAGAGAACGGAGGGAAGGAAGGAAGGAAGGAAGGAAGGAAGGAAGGAAGGAAGGAAGGAAGGAAGGAAGGGCAAGAGAGAAGAAAGAGAGGGACAGAGAGAGGAAGAAAAAAGAAAGAAAGAAAGAAAGAAAGAAAGAAAGAAAGAAAGAAGGAAGGAAGGAAGGGAAGGAAGGAAGGAAGGAAGGGCAAGACAGAGAAGAAAGAGAGGGACAGAGAGAGGAAGAAAAAAGGAAGAAAGAAAGAGGAAGGAAGGAAGGAAGGAAGGGCAAGAGAGAGAAGAAAGAGAGGGACAGAGAGAAGAAAAAAGGAAGAAAGAAAGAGGAAGGAAGGAAGGAAGGAAGGAAGGAAGGAAGGAAGGAAGGAAGGGCAAGAGAGAGAAGAAAGAGAGGGACAGAGAGAAGAAAAAAGGAAGAAAGAAAGAGGAAGGAAGGAAGGAAGGAAGGAAGGGAAAGAGAGAGAAGAAAGAGAGGGACAGAGAGAGGAAGAAAAAAGAAAGAAAAAAGAAAGAAAGAAAGAGGAAGGAAGGAAGGAAGGAAGGAAGGAAGGAAGGAAGGAAGGAAGGAAGGAAGGAAGGAAGGAAGGAAGGAAGGAAGGAAGGGAACCTTAAACATTTAAAGATCCAATAAGCTATGGATATGCCAAACATTAAGAGCGGAGTTTTCAGGCACAACAGTTGCAAAGGTGCCAAATTGCATAATTGCACAAATTTGTTATGCATCATACATATCTGGCCAGAAGCGTCTTTCTTTTGCTGGTTTTCTCCTTGATGCATGTATCCCAAAAAGAGGTCGAACTGCTGCTTTAAGGGGTGTTTCTGATTATGATAACTCTCGGAGACAGGTCTCTATCTGGTAAATGTGCATTGCTTCACACTTAGTTAATAATATATTCTGGCTGCCAGAGCTGGGTTCCCCTTGAAAAGTGGTGGCTGTTTCATTTCATCCCTTCTCTCTCTTCCTCTCCTTCCCTCCTTCTTTTGGCATAGTCTCAAATGGGACAGCATCCGCGAGCAGCTGGATCAATTTGCAGGGATCGCCAGCACGTCCAAAGGCGGTCGGATCGGGATCGAAGAGTTTGCTAACTATTTGAAACTGCCGGTCTCCGATGTCTTGCGTGAGCTGTTTACTCTCTTTGACAGAGTAAGTGTTGTGCCTCCCAAGGGTTAAAACAAACAAGCATTGCAGTGTTTGCAGAAATGAAGCTTGTGACTGAGAGACAGACACAGAGAGAGAGAGAGATCCTGTGTGTGTGTATAAAGAAAAAAGAATTTTAAGTACATAATATAAAACAGATGAGACTTCTGCAGTATTGAGCTGGGTGGTGGCCTCTAGGATTCTTAGAAAAAGAGCCAACAAACCAGAGAAAAGATTTAAGAGGGAGGCAAGATCAAGGTTGCTGGAAAAGTCTTCCCCCTTCCAAATTTGCAGAAGGAAAATTCCACCCTCGCTGGGCTTGGGCGAGGCCCCGTGCCCACAATAGATTCTAGCTGTGGAAAATGACGTGTGCGGACATGAGGGATTGCAATTTCCTTTGGCAGCAAATCCGTTCTTGCAGAACACGCCCAGCTCTGCTCTCTTCACACACACTCGGAGCTTCTGAAAGACGCTGCAGGTTCTGGGACTCTCCACCATGTTCCTTGCTCAAGCTTTGCTAGATGCGGCCACCGGTGGTGGTGGAAAAGGAGGAGGAGGAGGAGGAGGTGGTGGTGGTGGTGGTGGAGGAGGAGGAGGTGGTGGTGCTGGAGCCTTCCTGAAGAACTTGGGAGGTGGTGGAGGCACTGGAGGTGCCCTCATACGAGGCCTTGGTGGACTCCTGGCAGGAGGAGGAGGAGGTAGTGGTGGAGGAGGAGGAACAAGTGGTGGTGGCGGCGGCGGTGGCAGTGGTGGTAGCAAAGCCAGCAATGTTATGGGTCTTCTTGGAGGTCTTGTGAACATCATCAGTGAAGCAGCAGCTCAGTACAAACCAGAGCCCCCACCAGCCCCTCGCAGCCATTTTGCCAATGTGGAAGCCAATGAAAGCGAGGAAATGCGCCAGTTCCGACGACTCTTCACCCAACTGGCGGGCGATGACATGGAAGTGTGTGCCACCGAGCTGATGAACATCCTCAACAAGGTGATGGCCCGCCATCAGGATCTGCAATCCGAAGGCTTCAGCCTGGACACTTGCCGAAGCATGGTGGCTGTCATGGACAGTGATGCCACCGGCAAGCTGGACTTTTACCAGTTCAGGTATCTCTGGAACAACATCAAGAAGTGGCAGTGTGCCTTCAAAGAGTATGCTGGCCCGGCAGGGAAAATTGAGATGAGGAATTTGCCCACAACTTTCAAGGCCGCGGGGTTTAACCTCCACGAGCAACTCTACGCCCTGATGATCCGTCGCTATGCCGACGAAGATGGCAGCATGGATTTCAACAACTTCATCAGCTGCCTGGTCCGTCTGGATGGAATGTTCCGGGCCTTCAAATCCCTGGACCGAAGTGGTGATGGAAAAGTCCAGATGAACATAGAAGAGTGGTTACAGCTTACCATGTACTCTTAAAACAACAAGGGGTGGTGGAACGTCAAAGCAGTGGTTGGCTCTCCTTGGACCGTACCATTGATGGGGGGGGGGTTGAGGGACGAGGGATAGATGGAAAGTAAAATTGCTTCTGTCCAGACTTGAAATAAACCTTTCTGCTTACAGGGAGTGCTTTTGGGCTGACAGCACCTTGAGATATTGAGATTAGCCAATGCATGCCTTTTCTAAGAGCATTTGCTCATTGCTTATGTTTTGTTCTGGTTTGTTTGTTCAAGGCTGTGCCTGAATTCTGCAATAGTATTAAGGTTGCAAACTCATGTTAGCAATGTTGGAAGTGCACGGGAACCTGTGGGTTATTTCATAGGAAACTGGGAGGAAAACCCAGTGTTTTATTGCAAAATAAAATATAGCCTGCTCTCCTTAGGTTAGTGGCTATGTTGTGCAAAATGAAGCAACTGTTATTATCATTATTTCAATTTTTTCCCCACTCTGCTTTAGGAGAGCGTGTTTTGATCTCCTTTCCTTATTTTGTTTCCACTATTGTTCTTATCCTCTCCTCCTGTATTGATATTTTGGGATTCGAAGCCCCAAATAATCCCTGGTCTTGTTAAGGTAGTTCTTTTTTTTAAAAAAAAAACAAGGAAAGTCTAATTTACTTTAATTTACAAATGTTTCTGTTATTGAACATAATCTGTAATCTCAGTTATCCCAGTTGTCCTCAGATCATGGATGGGCACTCGGGATCCTGACCTCATTTTTGAGGGAATAAGATTAGGCTCTCCCAACTTGTTGGCCTTTAGATTCGTATATCTAGGTTACCATCATAGTTCAGTAATGGTCACTTGGAAATAGCACTCTGGGGGATTTGGAAAACAACGTGTTGTGTAAACGCAGCCAAAGGGAGATGGCATCTGCAGCTTCTGGGTTAGCAGCTTCTCTCTTGCTTTTGCTGAACGCCGGTTTGTTGTAGAAAGGAATCATAGCAAAAGTAGATCTTTTCCGTCTGTTGTAAAGAAGAGAAAATAAACTTGGATTATAACAAAAAGAGAACACTGTGAATTGTTTGATTGTTTTGTAGCTGTCTGGTCAAAAGTGGCAGGGAATAATATACTTTGCTTTCTTATATTTTTCTTAAAAAAAAAAAAAGCCTACGGATTTCCAAAGAAATCCTGCTTTATATGTGTGGGTTGACATAAGACTCTTGACCATCTTAAGCTGTGAGTCTTTGGGGCAGGTGGAGAAATGAGACCCTGGACTAAACTTGGTTATTTGTTTTTGACCTGGAAAACTACTTTAAATGTGGTTGTCCTTGTGGTGACCCGAACAGATCCAAATATAACATCTCTACCTCCCCTGGAACAGATCCTAATCTTGGCCTGAGTGAATCCCGTAGATGTCTCAAAATATTCTTGTTCCCTTTCACTGATTTTGATGGGCTTTGTGACTCACATCTGTGCTATTATGTTGACTTGGTTTGGGGCTTTACCCGGGGTGGTCGAGTGCTTTATGCAAACTGGTCTTGATACCTTCTTGATCCAGTTCTAGTTGGAAATAATATGAGAACCAGACTCTCCAAACCAGCTCAGAGGAAAAGGGGATCATCTCACTGCTTGCTCCATGATTATTGTGGCAGCTGCGTCCTATCTTTGGCCAAAAGTCTCAGAGGATAATTTACCGTTCCACAACAGTTCCCTGTTTCAGTTAAGGAACCCAACTGGGCAGCTTTCTAGATTGTGGACAGCCAGATCCTGCAGTTGCAGGCCTTGTTAAAACTCTGAATGCCCAGGATTATATTTTAAAAAAATCCCCCTTAATTTTCTTGTTCTCCCTAGGACCACCTCATTCTCTCTGTCCACTGAAGTCATCCATCCAGTTGAAATTGCTCCTATGTCTCTTTGGATTCTAATTGATCATTGTTACTCTGTTAAATGTGTGATCTGATGTTGAGCCTTAAGTTGGTTTGAACCTTCTATGTTTCTCAGGATAATTCCATCCCCTTTTAATGCTTGACTGGATGGCCTCAGATGTTGTCCGTTATGTTGGTTTGGGCCATTTATGTTTTTCGGGATAATTCAGTGGTGGGATTCAGCCAATTCGCACCAGTTCGGCAGAACTGATGGCTAATTTTTTGTTGCCCAGGCCCAGAATGGAATTCCTGAGGTGGCATCACACAGAGAACCGGTTGTTCACATATTTGAATCCCACCACTGGGATAATTCCATCCTTATAAAAGAAAAAAAAAATCTTACAAGGAGCTAAAGGTTCACCCAATGAACTTGATGCAAACGTAGTTGTGTAGTTAGAGAGCTGCTTTAGCCAAAGAATAAATTTAATTTTTCTTTGCCAAGTTTCCATGCAGATCTTTCTGAAGAGGCGGGGAGCATTGCTCGTCCCTGCTTTAAATACAGAAATGCATGCACATTTTGGTTCTCTGTCTCGCTCGTCCCTTCTTTAAATACAGAAATGCATGCACATTTTGGTTCTCTGTGTCTCTGTCTCTGTCTCTCTCTCTCTCTCTCTCTTCTCTCTCTCTCTCTCCTGCATATTTCTTTGAAAGCAAAACAAAGTCTCCCTTGAGAGACAAACAGCACTCTTGATCATTTCATGGGCTGGTTTCTTGGCAACACATCCAAGGAGCCTCCCTCTGCTTTGGGGCTAAGATGTTGTCTGTCTAAATGCTCTCGCTTGCAGCTCTGAAGCTTCTGAGTGGTACCCTTGCCAAGTCATAGCCTGATTTGACTTTGCCTTGGCTGGTTGGGCTCAACCGTGGTCAGCCAGGTGCTGCTATCTGCTGTGTCACAAGAGCAGCTGCTGATCTTTGTAGGCCAAAATAAGCATTGCTGACAAACGTAGGCAGCAACAAATCCAGCCCTTCCCTTCCCTTCAAGGCAAGCTTCCAAGCGGCAGGAATGTCACATGGAGCAGAGAAAATGGGTGGATGGCAATCCTGAACCAGCCACTTCCTTTCCAAAGGAGAGTCAAGAATTTGCCCTCACAGATCAAGGGAGGTGAAAAAACCACAGGTTTCCTGGACACCTCTTTAAAAACAAGCATCTTGAAGGCTTTCTGGATGTTCATCTTAACACCACAAACAGTTGCCATGACCTCTTTTCCGTTCCTGAGAGGTGGGGTATTTTGTTTGTTTGTTTATAACCAGGTTTTTGCATCTCTTCAAAACAAAGCACTCTTGATTTTGGAGAGTGAAGAGAAGCAGAGATTCCCTGGCAGCTAAGGCTTTCTTTGTGTAATTAGTTTGCAGGGAATTGTGACGACATGGTCATAAACTCTGGGTATTTGTGGAAATGGACTTTAGGGGGGTCAATTAAAATTTTAGGAGAGGGCTTCAGAGAAAGCTTCCATTTGGAAGGTGTCCTAGTCCACATTTTGCCTCGCAAGCCTTACCAGTGTCAACGCTGCAAATACTAGTCGAGAACTACCTGTAACCTTGCAAGGATGATTCAGGCGGGTGTTTTTGTTTGCATTCAGGGGTTCAGTTCAGAAAAGGAATGGAATCAGAGAAAAGTCCAGGCCTACATTGCTGGAAAAGTTAATCAAATTTTATTTTTCTTAAAGCAAAAGCATTTTTTCTTTGCCACCCTTCCCCCCCCCCAGCAGAAGTGATTCTCCCTACATTCAAGAAGGAAATTAGAAGTTTTGAAATGCTGCCCCAGTGTGGGTTGCATTCCATTCTCCTTTGAAGCCAGGAATGTAATCCTCCCCCTGAGGCTGGTATGCAAGTCTGTAAGCTTAACCCTTTCTGTGCTGCAGCTGGCAGACTGAAACAGGGTATAGTCCTCTGGGCATGAATGCAAAGCCAGGAAGATTTTTCAAGGGGGCCACCCACTCCGTAGTGAATAACTCTGCAAATCCAATGTCAACTCTGCTAACATCAGATGTTCTTGCTTTGACAACATATGAAGATGCAGCCATTTTCCTTCTTACATTTTACTCTTAGAATTAGAATTAGATGATAGTGGGGGGGGGAGGAGGAGGAATGTGCATTGGAGTTTAGTTAGACATAACAATATTGTAACTAGTGTGAGAACCAAGGTTTTTTGAAATAAGAGTTGATAAGAAATGGCAGGTTGAAGAACTGGAGGGAAAGCCTGCATTTCAAACTAATTGGAGAATGTGATTTATGACAGTTAATTAGAGGAGGGAATTGTGCTTTGATACTATATGCTCAGGGGAGGGGAATTCAGTTTTTGGCTTCGATTATGCAGTGCCGATGCTATGCTACTCGAATAAAGATTCTTTAAGGTAAACAATGCCTCAAAGTTCTTTGAAGAGTTTCATCCGTGGGAACCATGACATCCGATGTCTCTTTCTTGGCTCTTATAAAATCTGGTTCAGAGTTTTGGGATCTGCCAAGGATCTGTTCTCACTGGGTTGCTGTTTTTACTGCTGTTATTTTCATTACCACCATTATTATATTTATATCCCACTTTTATTTTGCACAATTCAGTGCTCCCACCATCTATTTTCCATACGATGTCCATTCTGCGTGGTGGGTCTCCCTCTGCCTGGATCTTCCTCAGTTGCCCCTGAGTCAAATTGAATATTGAATCTGTCCAAATGATATACACATTATGCAAGTTCTCTGCACAGAGATATATAAGTCCCATGATATCATGTCCCCATGTAACATCTGAGGCCTTCTGATGAGTTCTCTCAAGGATGACAACTGCAACAAAAATGGATGCAGCCTGAATTGGTTATACTGGTTGGTTTTTCATTATATTGCTTACATTGATTACATTCAGTCATGAATTGTTGTATTATCGTGATATTTTATATCTTATATTATTATGTTGGGTATACTCTTCTCTGGTCACAGCCATCAAGATTGGTATGGTTACTATATTAGTTTGAGTATGTACAGTATATACAGTAGAAATTCTACCTTTGGTTAAGTTTCCACCAATTTTTCTTCTAATTTCTTTATAACTGTAACCTTGTTCACTTAATAATTCTATTTTACATCACTTTCTGGGTAACCAGTCAACTCTTTGCACCATTACTTTAATTTTATTACATTTTACAAGCTCACTAAATGAAAGAACACAAACAAAAAACCCAACCCACTTGATAGCGATCACATAACACACTGACAAATGTCCTCCTCTCAGCTTCAATACATGACATCGATAACTGGATCCTACTGTGATCTGATTGGTTCATTGCCAAAAGAAGATGACATCTGATTGGCTCTCTAAACATTCATGCTCATTGGCTACAATCAGATGAAGGAAAGCTACCTGATATCAACCTAAGCAAGTTGTGCTTCCTTTTTCTGGTTATTTGGCTATAACTTTTCATAGAATACAGTACAAATAATTGAACAATCTTTGTTGCATTACATTCTTGATTAAATTATCTTTCCATTGATATATAATTTTATAGTACTGCTCCAAAAAACAAGTGGTGTTGTTAGCTATGAAACCTCAAAAATACATGTTTCTCAAAAGATTTCTACAATTTTGGCCACTACTGTATGTATGTGTGTGTGTGTGTGCGTGTGTGTAATTAAATTTTTAGAATTACAAATCTTTAGTGCTTAATAAACAACGTGTTCTCTGGGTTCACATATTTCATAGTAATATTATTAATCCATTTCTACTTTCTACCCCATTTTTCCAGCCACTTATAAAAATTATCCCATGTTTGGAAATATTCTGTATCTTCTTTCCCTTTCATTTTCAGTGTGAGCCTATCCATTTCCGCACAAACTAAAAATTTCCTAATTATGTCTTCTTCTGATGGTGTCTCTCCATTTTTCCAATTAGTTTGAGTATTTCAACTGCATTTAGTTGAGCTTAGTTATAGTGGGGTGTATGAAATGGAGGAGTGTTCACAAACTCGCCTGGAAAGTAAATTTGAGTAGTCAGGAGTTATGTCTCTGTTGCAGTTCCTTGAGTCAAGATAAATGGTGGCACCATTTAAGGACGCAAGAAACCTTTAGCCAGATACCAAGGGTACCACAGGAGAAATTGGAAATCAACAAGTCAGGATTGCTTTCTTGTTGCAATGGATGTTTTGAAGAAATCAACCGAATGGGTGTGGGAAAGAGACACGCCAGCATCACTGAGTAACTTCAACGACGTTTTGATTGTCTTGTGTTTTGTTCAGAACGGCGATGGGACCATAGACTTTCGAGAATATGTGATTGGTTTGTCCGTCCTGTGTAATCCCGCCAACACGGAGCAAACAATCCAGATGGCATTTCAGGTAAATCCTCTTAATTGAGGACTCGAGGTGCAGCACAGATCTGTAATGACAGACAGAGCATATCTGTGGGTGGAGAGATTCTGTGCAGAGCCTGGCCACCAGTCATATCATCCCTGGGAAATATTGGGCGAGGGCAACCTTGCTAGTCTATAGCAGGGGTCTCCAAACTCGGCAACTGTAAGACTTGTGGATTTCAACTCTCAGAATGGTTGGCTGGGGAATCCTGGGAGTTGAAGTGCACCAGTCTTACAGTTGCCACGTTTCGAGACCCCTGGTCTATAGCACTCCAGAGAGGACAACAGCATCCTTTTCGACTAACAAATATAAACTTTCATTATCTAGATCTCATTGTTGTTGTTAGTTGCAAAGTCATGTCTGACCCATCGCGACCCCATGGACAATGTTCCTCCAGGCCTTCCTGTCTTCTACCATCTTCTGGAGTCCATTTAAGCTCACGCCTGCTGCTTCAGTGACTCCATCCAGCCACCTCCTTCTCTGTCATCCCATTCTTCTCTTGCCCTCCATCTTTCCCAGCATCAGGCTCTTCTCCAGTGAGTCCTTCCTTCTCATTAGGTGGCCAAAGTATTTGAGTTTCAACTTCAGGATCTGGCCTTCTAAAGAGCAGTCAGGGTTGATCTCCTCTAGGACTGACTGGTTTGATCACCTTGCAGTCCAGGGGACTCGCAGGAGTCTTCTCCAGCATCATAGTTCAAAGGCCTCAATTCTTTGGCGCTCAGCCTTTCTTATGGTCCAACTTTCACATCCATACATTGCAACTGGGAAAACCATGACCTTGACTATCTGCACTTTTGTTGGCAGGGTGATGTCTCTGCTTTTTAGTATGCTGTCTAGATTTGCCATAGCTTTCCTCCCCAGGAGCAAGCATCTTTTAATTTCTTGGCTGCAGTTCCCATCTGCGGTGATCTTGGAGCCCAAAAAGATAAAATCTGTCACTAAGATCTCATCAGGTGAAAGCTTCACAAAACTGTGTGCCATATATTTATTTATTTCCTTTCTCACTGCTATGGTGGTCTGTGTCTTCCTCAACCAGGGATCGTCTACCAGAATCCTGGGAATTGGAGGACTCTAGACTGTGTATTAGCTGGTTCTAGCCCTGCACTCTTCTAGATAGAAAGCTCTGAAGATGTTCCTGGGATCTATTGGATCCAGTCTCCCACCTTAGGAGACACAGTCCTGAGTGCTCCTGCTGCCTGGGACCAAATTGGCTTTGATTTCCCAGATCCTCTTTAGTTCCTCCTTCTGGTTCTGTTACTTCTCCAGCTTCTCCTCCTTCCTGATGTTGCTGTCACGTGGCACTGCTACATGTATTACCACTGCTGTCTTCTGATTGGAAAAGGTGCTCTTCCTGATTTCTGGAGGGGAAGCCATGGTTTGGGTGGTATTAGGTGTTCTTCTGAGAATGGGGCTACGTGACTTTAAAGTAGTGAGCAGTTAATAGCAGGGAAAGTGGTCCTTATGGGACCCAAGCCTTCCACCACCCCAAGATGAATAGCAGAGTCTTCAAAAAGAGTGGATAGAACGCTATTCCTCTGATGGCTTTAAAAGAAATCTGGGAAGAGTTTCCCAGGCATTCAAAGGTTGATTTGGAGATGTCTGAGCTTTATCCCCCTTCCCAACAGACCAGTCAAATCCCTCTTCTTCTTCTTCTTCCTCCAGCTTTTCGACATTGATGAAGATGGCAGCATAACAGAAGACGAATTCGCCCTAATTATCCGTTCGTCACTTGGGCTTCCTGACCTCGATGTTTCGAACCTCTTCAAGGAGATTGATGCTGATCACTCTAACAAACTCTCCTATGGTAAGGAAGCCAAGTGGGAATTAAGGAAATCAAGATTCAGGGGTACGGTTGGGAGGAGACTTTGGGATGTGATGTAATGGCGTGATGAGGGAAAGAACTTGGGAGATGGGGTGGGGAGATGCTGCAAAGGGAACAATCGGATTGTCAACGCTGCAAATATTGTATATTCTTTCTTTTGACAATATGTAGAATTCGGCTAATTTAGGGAGGGAACATGCTGATAATTTAACTGCTCAGAGGAAGAGAACTTAGATCCTAGCATCCCTCCGTTGTGCCTGTGCCGACATTTTGTAACAATAAAAGACTTTTAGGAAAATAAATGCCTGGAAGTTCTTTGGAATGTTTCATTAGTCAGAACCACAACATGGATAACAGAATAGTAGAGTTGGAAGGGACCTTGGAAGTCCAAACCCCTGCTTAGGCAGGAAAATTTATACCATTTCAGGCAAATAGTTGTCCCGTCTCTTCTCAAAAACGTCCGTTATGAAGCACCCACAACTTCTGGAGGAGAGTTGTTCCATTGATTAATTGTTCTCACTGTCAGAAAATTTCTCCTTAGCTCTAGGTTGCTTCTCTCCTTGATGAGCTTCCATCCATTGCTTCTTGTCCTGCTTTCAGGCACTTTGGAGAATAGCTTGACTCCCTCTTCTTTGTGGCAGCCTCTCAAATATTGGAATACTGCTATTGTGTCACCCCTGGTCCTTCTTTTCAATAAACTAGATAAGAGGCAGCATAGCCCACAGCTGTATAACTGGCAGGGCAAGGGATCCAGAAGAGACCCTCTCTAGTTTCGCCAGCTGTAAAGGAGACGGGGGAAGATTTTTATTTTCAGACCTGCAAAGTTCTGTCAACGTAGCCTCCCAATAAAGTTGACTTGGCTCAACTGTGATTCCTATCTGGTTTACCCCACGAGTTGCCTTCTCCTGGTTTAGTGTGAACCTCAGACCAGCCCCATGATTTAAATAATGTTGTTCATTCTTTTATTTTTAGAAGAGTTCAAGGATTTTGCTGAGAAGCATCCTGAATACGCCAAGCTGTTTACAACGTATCTTGAGCTTCAACGCTGCCAGCTGTTGACAGAGGCGGAATTCACTTCCGGGGAAGTCACCCCTATCACCTCTTCTTCTGAAACAACTCCGGTGCCAAGGAACAAAGTCTGCCCCCAACCGACTGAAGACGAGCATTCAAATATTTCAGATAAAAAAGAAGACTGAACCTCAAAAGCCTAATATATACATTTATTTAAGCCACAGAAGGATTCCTTTTTATTAAATCCAAATCTTGGTGGGAATACATATATATATATATATATATATATATATATATATATATATATATATATATATATATAGGTCTTTGGTTGTTCGGGTTTTCTCCCGCGTAAAATTGGAAGTGTCTTGGCGACGTTTCGACGAAGTCCCATTCGTCATCTTCAGGCTGGTGTTTTTAGCTTCGTGCTTCGAGCAGCAATGTTTGAGCATTGCTGCTCAAAGCAAGAAGCTGAAAGCACCAGCCTGAAGATGACGAATGGGACTTCGTCGAAACGTCGCCAAGACACTTCCAATTTTACGTGGGAGAAAACCCGAACAACAAAGACCTACATATATATATATATATATATATATATATATATATATATATATATATATATATATATATATATATATATATATATATTTAAGCCGGACCGAGTAGAGCAAAATTTTGCTTTCGGAATATATGCATTCATACACTGTATGTCGAGAAGTATTTTTCAATAAATAAATTTGGGGAAATGGTTTGCTACTTGTACTGCATTTGTGCTGATTCTGTTCCAGAAGAATTGACGTCAAGATGAAATTGGAAGGGAAAAAACACCAAATCAGAAACACCTTTTCTAACACATTTCATTCAAAGGCAACATTTCTGTGAGTTGCAGCTTGGAGTTTTGAATAATGACAATGAATAATGATGAGGAATCCTATGAAGAATAGTTAAGGGAACCAGGTATGTCTAGCCTATCAAAGAGAAGGATTAAGTGGTAAGATTAGCGAGATTAGCAAAAATGTTTCAAAATATGTCCAGTAACTCTTGGAAGTGCAATCAAAAACCAGGCATGTACTATCATCTTTGGTGGACGTGCCCTAAAGCAAAACAAATTTGGACAAAAATACATACTTGGCCAGAAATGATGTTAAAAAAAAACATGTAGACTTTAAACTGGGGCTATTATTAGGTATATTATTGGGAAAATATGACAAAGAAAGTGTATATATTTAATGTTGCATGTATTAACAGCAGCAAGAATTGTATTTGGTCGGTATTGGAAAAATGAAGAAACACCATCTGAAGAAGTGATAATCGAGAAATACTGGACTGCTCAGAAATGGATAGACTTACACTGAAGATTAAAGAAAAAGAAGACCCAGAATATTTTCAAATATGGGATGTATTTTATCAATGGCCGGAAAAATGGGGTAGAGAATAGGGATTTAATGTGTATTATTAAGTAAAAAAATAGACCCAGACAACACGCTGTTGACCAAGCACTTATAAATTGTAAATGTAGAAAACTAATACAATGTTATTTAAAAGGAGAGAGAGAGAGAGAGAGATTAAGGAGGACATTATAACTATCTTCCAGTACATAAGGGACTATGACAAAGTAGAGGGGACTGACTTATTGTCCAACACACTATAGGGCAGGACAAAAAGTCATGGATTGAAGCTTGTCAAAGAGAGATCCAATCCAGAATAAAGGAGAAATTTCCTGACAGTAACAACAAGTAATCAAAGGAATAGCTTGCCTGCTAGAGTTGTGGTTGCTCCATCACTGGAGGTTTATAAAAATAAATTGGACAATCGTGATGGGGTTGGAATAAGGGCTTAGCAGGCGTTATCCTGCTTATCTTCTGAAACCAGCCAAGACTAGATAAGCAGTTTTACTACCTGTCTAAAACTCTGCACGATTACTACGAGCCAACTTCATTTATCACCTGAAGCTATTTAAGAAATAATCAATTAGCCAATAAATCATCATTGGCTGAGTCATAAACCTCTGCTTTCTGCAACTTTTAGCAAGGTGCAAAGGAAAAAGGGAAACGAATGCAAGTTGCATCTTGATGTTGATGTAATTAATGTGGCCCAGAAGATTCTCATCCCTGAACTAGAAGCTTTTAGGCCCGATGTCATGATGGAGAATGAAATATCCTGCATCTATCTTGAGGGAACTGATTTAATTATCCCCCATCAGCAGAATATGGGTCTGAATGCTTAAGAGAAGTGAGGGACCATTGCCCTCTCGTGGCCATTTAACTGGAATTGTGCCTGTTAGTTTCCCCATTTTTTTAAAAAAAATATCAGTACAGTACAGTAGAAGTCTTGAAGACTAAGAGACAGATCATCATGAAGAAAATCTATGTGATCACTAAGAGTCATATATGACTTGATGGTACAGAATCAGATGTGTTCAGGGCAGATTATCCATCTTAAGATCAACCTTAAGATGATTCTTTGCTACATCTCCACTCTTCCTGGAGATGGAGAAGACAGCTCAAACCCCCACTGTACCACTCACTGCTGCATTTGGGATTGCTCACCATAACAAGCAAAGTCTTACATTTTGGCAGGAAAAATCAAAGGCACAAGTACAGACTGGGCAAGACCTGGCTTAAAAACAGCCACTGTGAGAGGGACCTTGGAGTCCTAGTGGACGATCACTTGACCATGACCCAGCCGTGTGCAGCAGCAGCCAGAAAAGCTAATACAATCCTGGGTTGTATAAACAGAGGCATAGAATCAAGATCGCATGAGGTATTAGTACCGCTTTATAAAACCCTAGTGAGGCCACACCTGGAATACTGCAGCCAATTTTGGTCACCATGTCACAAAAAAAGATGTTGAGAGTTTGGAAAAAATTCAGAGAAGAGCAACTAAAATGATCAAAGGCCTGGAGACTAAAACATACGAGGAACAGTTGCAGGACTTGGGTTTGACTAGTCTAAAGAAAAGAAGAAATAGAGGAGACATGATAGCAGTGTTCTGGTATTTGCGAGGCTGCCACAAAGAAGAGGGGCTCATGTTATTCTCCAAAGCACCAGAGTGAAGGACGAGAAACAATGGTTGGAAACTGATCAAAGAGAGAAGCAACCTGGAATTAGGGAGAAACTTCCTGACAGTGAGGACAATCAACCAGTGGAACAGCTTTGCCTCCAGAAATCGTAGGTGCTCCATCACTGGAGGTTTTTAAGAAAAGATTAGACATTCACCTGTCTGAGATGATATAGGTTCTCCTGCTTGAGCAAGGGGTTGGATTAGAAGACCTCCAAGGTCCCTTCCAGCTCTATTCTATATATATAGCTACTGGGCTGATTAAAACTGGGACTGTCTACTCTGCTTTGGAGTTGGGGAATGGAAGCTGAAATGTATGAAGAACAGTCGCAGGAATTGGGTATGTCTAGTTTAATGAAAAGAAGAACTAGGGGCGACAGGATAGCTGTCTTCTAATTTCTAAGGGGCTGCCACAAAGATTTGGATTTTTGAGATGTCCATATGTCCATAGAGAAGTTCCTTCAAGGCTCAATTGTCCATCCAGAATATTAACCTATCCAAATCAATTTTGAGGTCAGGTTTTCAGAGCTGCTTAAGCAAAAAATAAGCAATTGCTGTTTAAGTGACTGTTGCAAAAATGTGAGATACGCCAGCTTTGGACACTCTGATCTAAATTGTTCAGGCTTTGTGGGTTTCCATGCTAGACTTCATCTAAGATGGTAATATACACAAGTCTTTCAACTGCACTAGGTAGGGAGATCTCAAAAGTTCAGGACTGGTACATTAGTCCTCAACTAATGACCACAATTGAGCCCTAAAATTATGTCGCTAAGAGAGACATTCATTAAGTGATTTTTGCTCCATTTCAGAACCTTTCTTGCCATAGAGGTTAAGTGAAGCACTGCAGTTGTTGTTGGTAACCTATTAATTAGTAAATCTGGCTTCTCCATTGACTTTGCTTGTCAGAAGGTCACAAAAATGGATCACGTGACCCCGGGACACTAAGACTGTCATAAACATGAATCAGTTGCTAAGCATATGAATTCTGATAACGTGACGAATGGCATGCTGCAACAGTGGTGTGAAAAATGGTCCTAAGTCACTTTTTTCAGTGCTGTTGTAACTTTTGAGCAATCACTAAATGAATGGTTGCCATTCCAGGATTACCTGTATTGTTCAGGCTGTATTATGACCTTCAAACTGAAAAAAAAAATCTGAGATCTGCTTGATTTATAGGACTATTCTTATGTTCTTCCATTAATTACAACCCTTTAAGACAAGGCAAACCATATCTTAATGCAGGGGTGTCAAACTGCTGGCCTGCGGGGTGGACGCGTCACGACGAAACCGTGCCCACCCCATTGTCAGCAATGGGGAAAAAGCTCCGATACATCGCGCGATGTCACAAGTTTGACATGTCTGTCTTAATGTGATCCACAAACCAGGAAGATGGTCTCTTCCTTGTTGTACTGAACATTCTCATTTCTTAGGCCCACTACATTTGCAATGACTTTTCCTTCTGACTCTTTTTCTGATCATCCATCCACCTTAATCTAACATAAACCAAGATTTCTTTGGCTCAGTTGTACTACTCCTCAGTCCTCTGTGTATTTCCCAAAAGGGTAGTATCTTGGTTCCCCATCAGCCCTAAGGACACAGTTGTCCACCTGAATCCTATAAAGCATCTCAACTCTCTAATTCAATTGCACTCCCTTCATTTGGCCACAGCCCCCACCGATCATCAAGGAGAATCAAGACGTCTGTTTAGAAATAATCAAATATTATTAAAATATCGGTCCTAGCCCAAGTTGACAAATGGCTTACTCATCATAACCTTGGATGGTGAATTTCCAGCTTCTTTCTCAGCCTTGATGGGCTTAATTCAATCAACCTGAGAAGAAACAATTTACTTGCTGCTCTCCAGGAGACAGATATGACTGGCATGGCTACCGTTGAGGAGAAGAGCATAAAAAATAAAAAAAACAAAATGCAACAATTTGTTCTGTGTTTAGTTTTAAAGGTGGGCAGCATCTCGTCTTCAACTCAACTTTGAAAGCAAGGATGGAGTTCAAACAGTGGAAACAACAAAGGTGCCTTCCCTGTTTCAGAAAACAATGACATGGAAAAGATCAGAAGCTGGAGATGTCAAAGAGAAGAGGGAATAGGTGATCTCACCTGCCTTTGGCTCTGCCTCTATTCTCCTGTTGCTTCATCTCCACCCATGACTGGTATGGAGACCCCAATAAAGGATCCCAATGGAATATGGTCCTTGGCCAAAGAAGAGATTTCTTCCATGGTGGTCTTTTCACTTTCATCCAGAACTTTACCACCCAATCAATCATCCTTCTTGTTGCCTTGATTCCATCACAGAGAGACACAACCACAGAATCACAAATATGAAATTGCTTTCCTATCTACTCTCGCTCCCTTCTTAAACTGTTCAGCTTGACTTTGTTCCAACTTTGTATTTTGCAATAATAACTTGATTCTTTCATATTGATTTTTGTTGTTCAACAGCCAAAGACTTTCAAATCCCCAAGAACCTTCCTTCCTTCCTTTCTTTCTTCCTTCCTTCCTTCCTTCCTTCCTTCCTTCCTTCCTTCCTTCCTTCCTTCCTTCTTTCCTTCCTTCCTTTCCCTCCCTCCCTTCCTCCCTCCCTTTTTCTATGAAACAGGCTTCTTTATAGATGAACCTACTCTTGAAACATGGCAACTTTAAGATGTGTGGACTTCATCTCGCAGGATTCCCAGCCAATCTACACATCTTAAAGTTGTCCAGTTAGGAAAACTTCTCTACAATGTCTTCTTCTGAATGTCAATTTGTGAAGAACCAAATTTACTGTTTGATCCCTATTTTTCTACTCCAAGTGATGGAAAAAGCTGGTATTCGTCCACTGCAAACTTCTCCCTCACTTTGCACCATGCCAGATGGCTCTTTCTGGTCCCTGGGCTGACCTGAAAACCTCACTGAAGCTTTTCTTTGAAATGTCACGAATGATAGAACACCAAGGATCCTCAAGAAGCTGAATAGCCAGAGAGAGAAACCACACACTGACAAAATAACAAGTGCAAAAATAAAAAAAAAATCATTTTATTTCCAGGGAGTGGAAGAGCAGTTTCAAAAATGCAAGAGAAACAATTCAATCCTGTTTTAAAGAGAAGGATCAAGGAAGAGAAAATGATAAATCGTCTCAATTTGATGAAGGGTTCATGGTGCAAAATGTGCACGTTGCGTTAAAATAGATTGTAGGAAACTAGACTGTAGGAAACTCAAGGAAGCTATGCAGAATTCTGAGTCTCTCCCGTTCTTTCATCAAGAACCTTGTCCTTCATCCAAGAGTCAACATATGGATGACAGCAAAGATCCTCACACCACAAACATCTTTGTCAGCCAAGGGCCATGTTTTCCATTAGGCACGTCTTTTTTACAAAACGGCACCAACTTCTTTTAAAAAAGAAAAGTTATGCCCAAGAGGTTGGGCTGAAAATAAGCCATCTTCCCCCATCTTACAAAACTTGATGTCATGCCTTAATAGATCCCTTCTGTTGATGTTTTTTTGCAGGAAACAATCTCTGCACCAATCCTTGATAGAGGAGGGTAAAATTTGTCACTTACAGCCAAATCACCCTTCCCCCCCCCCAATAACTTTGATTCTCTGCAATTTGTTAGCACTGTATTTCCACCCTCCCTCTAATTCAGGAAAAAGTCAAGTGCCCAACTTTCATGTTTTGTTCCCATTGTTAACATATGTTCAAACATTATAAATAGGACAAACAAGTGCTTAACTTTCTGATTCAATTCAGAAAGTCAGTTTGATTTGGAAATTCAGTGAAGTTTCAGTCCAAATCTCCAGAGTTTTGCATAGCTCATAGTCCACTGTAGATGTTTGCAAGGAAGTCCATATTTCTTAGCACTGATCTCAGTTTTGTTCTGCTCCAAATGCATAAATTAAAGGAGTTAAATAATTATCTACCTACCTACCTACCTACCTACCTACCTACCTACCTACCTACCTATCTATCTATCTATCTATCTATCTATCCATCCATCCATCCATCCATCCATCCATCCATCCATCCTGATTTTTGTTTTGGCACAAATGGTAAAAATTCCACCCCAAGGGAACATCATTTCTTATCATGTGCTATTTGTATCAAATGGAGGGGGGTCTCATTCATTTTAAAGTTTCTTCTAACTCTTAAGAATTAGTGTTTAAACAGCTGCTACCTTTGTAGCCAAAAGCTAGTTGACTTTATCACCCCTGGCATTTAATGTTTGCAGAGCAATGCAGCAGGTCTTGTTAGATTAAAATGATTTCTTGGATCTGTATCCCTGTTGGGATTTTATTTGATCTTTCAGCCTTTGAGCATCCAAAATTATGAAAGTGTTTTCAATCATTTCAACCTCATTCGTCCGAGTAAAGAGAGAGCGCGTGGTAGAGATGGAAAACACAAAGGCATATTGCAGATTGTGGAAATGGTTGTGGTTGAGGCTTCCAAGGGTTTCATCATCAACATGTTCTTGAGGAGAAGCATTGGGGTAGGACAATCAAAAAACAAGGGAGTTGTGAGTTGGCCAAGAGATTAAGATTTCTCCATTTTCCCTCTCGCAACTATGTACTCTTTGTACAGTCTTAAGTTGTCGATCCCTCCTAAGCAGTTGAAGATGAATCATAATGATCCACATCCAAACTGTGGTCAACCTTGAAATGGTGAGAAGAATGAGCTAAGAATAATTGCAATAGCCCTGAGCAGTTATATTAAGTTTTGGAAAAAGAAAAAAGCTCCTTGTTCCCATTCTATACATGTAAATGGAACATAAATCATTGACACCACTGAGAGTCACCCAGGTTGATTTGCTGTTCAGGAAGCTTTACAACCTCTAGCATTGTCCCTCTAGTAAAGCAAGATGACTTGGTGGACGATGCTAGATGGCACCAATTAGGTGGGCCTGCCTCCATTTTCACTCCTGAGTGTGAAGCAGGGGGTGTAACAGAAGGTGCTGCTGGTGTCTTTGAAAGTTGTTCTCGCACAAAGTGCTCTAAGTTTCAGGAGAGTTTCCACTTTCCAAGAGTGAGTATTATGTCAGAGCTTTAGGGACTGAGCCTCGGTTCATGTCATGCTTTGTTTACAGTACTCCTTAATTAACCTATAGGATCACTCAGCATCCATCAGGGCTTCCAACTTCTGGCCATTCATGATTGGTGTCACTGACTGGAATTTAATTTCTGAAGTAACAATAATTGATTAGATTGCCTGCAAAGCAGGTAGACAGAGGCACCTGATAACAGCTTGCTCAGAAATTAGAACATTTCTTGTTAGTGTTTGTTATCTTTTTGAAATTGAATATCTCTTTTTTGAATTCATCTATCTATCTATCTATCTATCTATCTATCTATCTATCTATCTATCTATCTATCTATCTACCTATCTATCTATCTACCCATCTACCTACCTACCTTCATCCATCTATCATCCATCATTCATGTATTATCTACTATCTATCAGTCCATCAATCCATCCATCCATCATCCATCCATTCATCTATTATCTCTCTCTCCTATCTACCTCCCTCCCTCCCTCTCTAGCATCCATGTATTATCTCTCTCTTATCTGTCTGTCCGTCCATCCATCCATCCATCCATCCATCCATCCATCCATCACATTTATATGGCTACCGATTTCACAAGAAGCAGCAAACAACATTTAATTAAAAAAAAAACAATAACAAAGGGTCCCCCCTTAAAGATACTTAGAAAGTCACTAAAGACCCAGATCTTCTCCCAGGCCGCCTGGCAGATTGGGCACACATTTTTCTCCTTTTTTGTATGATTCTTTTCCCCAGCCCCCAACCCCCAGACTGAATGCATAGCATCTGTTATTTATTTTATTTTATTCTCCTGGATTTTTCTTGGCAAAAGTGCCCAGAGTTGGTTGAAGTTGGTCGCTCTTTAAATCTCTGCCCCTAAATGTAAATAAGTAAATAAGCCAACAAATGAAACTCTTGTCAAACCCGATTAGGGGCAATGTGGTCCTGACAGATTCAAGATTAAGCCTGCTTTGGGGATGGGTGGGTGAGAGCAAATCCAATTGAGGACTTTTTTTTTTTTTTGTACCTTCAGGGGGCAGCTGATATTACATTTACCAGCCTGCTGTGTTCTCCCACCCAGAAGCTCAGGGGAAAACAAAGCAGAGAGATTCATTCCTAACCAAAAGAAACCAAGGAAAGAATTCCAAGAAGTCTAGAAGCCAAGTTCTTTTTTTCCCCCGTTCTTTCTTCTTCCCATGCCTTGAAAATCAGATGTACCTGCCTTCAGGAGAAGCAGAAAAGAGAATCAGCTGTTCAAGGCTAAAACCTTCTTTGGAAGAAGCTTTGCTGCAGGGCAGAACATCTGTGAAGCTTTATCAATCCAGTAATTCAATCATGGAGAGAGGTTTAAAACGCTCCTCCGGTGCCTTGCCTACAGTCTCTTCCTGGTCCTGAGGAAGAAGAAGAAGAAGAAGACCTTTCAGAAAGGACTGAGCATCCTTGTGCTTTCTGCCTCCCCCATCTCCAGCTGGGGGAATGGACCAATTCTCTAGCATCTCCTGAAAAAAGTGGAACAGACTAACGGTGAGTCTTTGTTAAAGATTTCTCTTTGGTGTTGTCAGGAAAGGTAAGTGAGGTTGGGATCTTGTTGGCGATGCCAACAAGAAAGTTCTCAGTAAGAACAGGCGGAAGAGACCAGAGGGTGGCCGAAACCACAGACAGTGGTTGGGTGTTTCCGTGTGTGTTTGCACACACAGGTGTGAGCAATTGATGAACAGTTTTCAGCTCACAGCCAGCCGGACTGCCAACATTTCTACAAAAATGACCTTAGTCGTAATTTTTCACGAGGGTTTGCAGCTTGTTTTAGTCTCTTAGGCATTTCTGGACTACACACCTGTGTATGTGTGCAGTTACTAAAGACACTTTAGCCAGCCTGTCCCCAATTGATTCACCAGAAAGAAAAGAGAATGAAATTCAGATTAGTTTATTTGAAAGTGAAACCTGGGTAACATGCTAAACCACATTCTGATCACTCCACAAGCTATATGTGTATATCTATATATCTATATTTGTTTTCTGAGGTTTTCGTGGGTGTTTGTATGTAGGTCTTTGGTTATTCGGGTTTTCTCCCACGTAAAATTGGAAATGTCTTGGCGATGTTTCGACAAAGTCCCATTCGTCATCTTCAGGCTGGTGTTTTCGGCTTCGTGCTTCTAGGAGCACGAAGCCGAAAACACCAGCCTGAAGATGACGAATGGGACTTTGTCGAAACATCGCCAAGACACTTCCAATTTTACGCGGGAGAAAACCCGAATAACCAAAGACCTACATCTCTCTCTCTCTCTATATATATATATATATATAGAGAGAGAGAGTGATGCTTGAGTGTTGATCATAGTAAGACAAAAATTGATCCTGTTGAGATAACCTTTAGGTTTAAAAAACAATTTTAGTGGGAAAAACGTTTTGCATCCATCATTAAACCTGATGGTAGAAAGAAAGAAAGAAAGAAAGGAAGGAAGGAAGGAAAGAAGGAAGGAAGGAAGAAAGAAAGAAAGAAAGAAAGAAAGAAAGAAAGACAAATCTAATGACTACACTGACTTTAAGGAATGCAGGAATACACTTTTTTAAAAAAAAAAATATTATCAGTAAAGTTGGTTTCACTGTTTCTTGCCCCTTGATCCAGGTGAATCTGGAGCTATTTGGGCTCTGTTCTTGTATTGTTTTCTGACTTGTATATATAGAAAACATGTGAATGATAGTTTACAGCTCAGGTTGGGAAATTATTTCATTATACAATTGCAAATTTCGGCACTCTGTGAATTTCTGCAGGACAGATTCTGTCTAGGAGAGAAAGGAACAGCACCAACATACCTGGCAGGCTGGCAGAATTAATTCCAGGTGACTTAAAGCCGCACCTAAATTCTAGATTATGAATCGGATTATAGCAATTTGGGCACACAAGCCTCCCATTGAAAATGAAATCCCGCATTTGCCCCCCTCCTGCAGCCCTGGAGAATTTACCAATACCAGAATTTTGCTTTGCCAAAAGTTTGGCTTCGGTTCGGATTCTGAAACTTTTAAAATCAGGACCCTTTCGTTGTCCCTGTTGGTGCACTTCCACGCTTGTCTATATATAAATGGAAAGGGCCCATTCAGGATCCAGGAAATAATCTTGGACTTCCGAGAGCCGGCCCAGAGTTTCTGCTGCGGGAGCTCTTCGAAAAGAAATCTTTTGGGATCTCTTTGGAAAGCCAAGTCCTGGCTAGCAGCTGCCCGATCCCGCGCGCCGAAGTTTTAAGTGCCATGAAGACATAGAGCCGCAGCGACGGGTGGGCGCCGCGTAGAACCCGCCACGCTTGTTGAGATTGGAGCAACGGTGTGTGTGTGTGTGTGTGTGTGTGTGTGTGTGTGTGTGTGTGTGTGTGTGTGTGTGTGTGTGTGTGTGTGTGTGTGTGTGTGTGTGTGTGTGTGTTAGACCTGGATAGCACCGTCGCGACTCCGTCCCCCCAAGTCTGAAGGACCTTCTGTCTTGGTTAAGAGGAGAAGAGCAGAAGAAGGGGGTCAACTCCGCCTCGGCTCTTGATTTTGGGGAGAAAGAAGTGACCGACCTGGAAAGCCCCCCCGGGAAGCCCCCTCCCCGGGGTCGGGTGGTGGTCTGCGGGGGGGGCGGACCTGCGGGGCGGGCGCTCCTCCGACCCGAAGCTTCTGCTGGCCCCGCGCCCTCCTCCCTTTGGCGGCGCGTCTTTGCGCCGCGCTCTTGGAGAGGGTGTCCGGCGCAGTGTCTCCAGCGCCTCCTGGTTCGCTCGCCTGCCTGCCTGCCTGCCTGCCTGCCTGTCTGCCTAGCCTTTCTCCTCCGCTGACTTGCTCTCTTTTCCCCCACCCCCGTCGCACCTCCAGAGTGAAGATGATCAAGCCCCTGGTCCAGCCGGAGGAGCGCAGCTCGGCCGGGGCGCCTTCTACTCTGCCGCCGCCGCCGTCGCCTCCCGTCAAGAAAGACGTGGAGCTCCTTCTGGTGAAGGAGCAGAACGGGGTGCAATACACCAGCAGCCACCTCCTGGACCACGCCGCTCCCGGCTACAGCTCCGCCGGCGCCCCGCTGCAGGAGCGCGAGACTTGGGGTAAAAAGATCGACTTTCTGCTCTCCGTGGTGGGTTTCTCGGTGGACCTGGCCAACGTCTGGCGCTTCCCTTACCTCTGCTACAAAAACGGAGGAGGTAAGTCACAAGGCACCCGAGTTCAGTCAGCGAGGGGTGGGGGAGACCTCATCGGCTGCCTTCCCCACCCCCAAACCTGTCGGTATATCCCATCCTCTCCACCTCAATGGGGAAGACGGAAGGAAGAATAAGGGAAGATGGCCATCCGGCTTCCCTTTGGCCCTTGGTGTTCTTGGTTTAGGAAGACGGGTGTGTATGGGTGTGTTTGGCACACCTGGGAGTCAGATCCCACTCTCCTTGGGAGGGATATGCCACCAGGAGGCTTTGAGCAAAGTTATAGTTTCCATTTGTGACTTCTCGCCTCTGGAGAGCTGGGCTGAAGATCCAGAAATGGCAGCCTGGTTTGAAGGAACTTTGCTTCCAAGAAGAGAAATCCACAAGGATTTCATTATTTAGATCGCTACAGCTCTAAACTCATCACCTGCCTCACCAGGACAAGTTTAAAAGCTCAGCTAGACTTTATTTCTGATTTCCTTCCCAGCTTCTTTTGCCAACCTCAAAGCAAAGCTCAGATCAAAGGCAACTTCGTACACTTCCTGCTCTGGCTAGCTAGACTCCTCTTGAAATGCATGCAGAGATGGTGATAGACTGCTACTGAGCATAGAAGCTCCAATCATTGTCACTCAGCTGCTTCTCTCCCCCTTGCAGGTCTCCTGGTGCACTTTTTGTATTGTTTTGCTTTTTTTTGTACAGTCCAGATTTTCAGTGGTCTTCTACTTTGGTGGCAACAGAAGCAACCAGGTTTGTCTCTGCTTGTTTTGCCCTGAAGTGTGTTCAAAAGTAGCTTTGTCCCAGAAGGGAAGCAGAAGGAGGATTGTGATCCTAACTGCTTCCATATTGTAATCTGGCATGAATTTTGTGAATGTGGTAAGCTTTGTCGACTCTGTTTAAAGACACTTCCTTCTTCTGTCGCCTGGGGAGAGAACATTGTAGACCTCTTCTAAGAAAGCTCAAGGTTTTTGGGGGGCCACCTTCAGGATAATCGCTCCAGAAAATGAGTTAGAACAATGCCCATCTTGAACCATCCAGTTGGAATTCCCAAGGTTTCCAGCCAGCCTGGCTAAAATTTGGGATTGGTTGGAAATTGCTGCGTTGGGGAAGTTGGGCTCCAGCAATGAACACACACACACACACACACACACACACACACACACACACATACACACACACGCACAAAGAAACCAACCTTCCCCAGTTCAAGGTTATACAGCAACCAGGGTTTTTTTTGTTTTCAAGGGCACAACCACTTGGAAAATAAAGACTGGTATTGAAAAAAAAAAAGCTTGGAATGGTCCTTTGGTTAAGAAGAAACTGGATTTTGCTATTTATTACAGCTGTAGTAGAAGACTGAGGGATTTAGTTCACCACAGTGGCTCCAGAAAAACCAAAGAGAACTATGAAAAACTTCCTTCTGGAATCCTGGAGTTTTAGTACATTTTATTTATCGATGTAGAAAATACAGACTAAATGGACTGGTGTTTGGTCATACAGCTTCTGATGTTCCTTCCTGCGTTCTCATGTACACTCACGTTAAGCCTGGCCCCTCTCCATAGGTTTGTCCCTCCTAGGGTCCTTGCCTGTGGTTAGCTTCTCCTTGAATTGTTCCAGAATGAACAATTGGTATAAAGAGCGATGTCCCTATTGTTAAATCTGACTTTCCTTCTTTGGCATCTGTTCTGAGTCACAATGGCCCAATGGTCTGGTCGGGATTTCTAGAGGTGCCACTGTTGATGGACAAGCTGATGGGTTGTCTCATCCGGCTTTGCAGCCAGACCTTTTAGGTGTCACCAGCAAGTGGGGAGGCCATTCTAAAATCCAGGTTCTGCAGGAAAACTAGAGTTGGTTTGACTTTCAGGTTCTGCTTGGATTTTCTGGGTTGGTCTTGCCATGCTACATAGGGATATATCCCAAGTTAAAATAAGTTGAAATGAAGGAGCAAATAGGAAGACACCAAAACAGAAGGAGGTAGAAGCTTGTCAAATCAGAAAGAGAGAGAGAGAGACAGACAGAGACAGAGACAGAGAGAGAGAAAAAACACACAGCAAAAGGCAGACAGAGAGAGAGAGATGGAAAGATAGATAGATAGATAGATAGATAGATAGATAGATAGATAGACAGACAGACAGAGAGAGACAGAGCAAAAGATTGAGAAAGAGAGAGGGAGAGAGAGAAAGAAAAAGATAGCAAAAGATTGAGAGAGAGAGAGAGACAGCAAAATATTGAGAGGGGAAGAGAGAGAGAGAGAAAAAGAGAAAAAGAGAAAAAAGACAGAAAGAGAAAGAGAGCAAAAGATTGAGAGAGAAAGAAAAGAACAGCAAAAGATTGAGAAAGAGAGCAAAAGATAGATAGATAGATAGATAGATAGATAGATAGATAGATAGATAGATAGATAGATAGATAGATAGACAGACTCCTGAGCCACCAGATGTTTTATTTCAAGGATGGGAAGAAGTGACTGAAACTGGCACAACTGGAGGCATTGGCAAATCAGCAAGCCTTTTTGTCTCCTTTTCTAGGCCTAGCAGTGTGGAATGTGGGATTCTGACCCCAAACATTTCACAGTTCTTTTCCTTAATGTCTTCCATCTTCTTCTCCAATCAAACAGTGGAGCTCGGTGTGTTCTCCTCTGTTCTATCCTCAAGCTTGGAGAGAAGGTGGTCCTTAAACTATCTCTGGGAAGGTGATGGGCATGACAGGAGCTCAGGCAACAAAGTCCTCGTGGAGAAAGGAGATTCGGGGGAGCTTGCAGCTAGAAGAAGGTCCGAGTCCATGTCTTCCAATTCACTCAGATAGGTCCATCTTCTGATCACATTGATGCCAAGTCATGTGACCTCACCTCCAAGATAGGTGAGATGAACAGTTTTAAAGTTCTACTGAAATCATGCCAGCTTGAAGAGATGTGGATTTTGGAACCACTTTGTGGTCTCTTAAGGTGGTTCCAGAAATGGTCTGGAGATGGATGAGAGCTACAGTCTTGTGACTGAGGCCAAACTCTAGAGCAGGGGTTCCCAACTGGAAGTGCTTGAACCCCCTGGAGGTATGAGATGATATTCCAAGGGGTGCGAAAAGTTGGGTTTTCAAAATTAAAGTGTGCATGCATAATTCATTGCCGTTATTTTCAACTTTTGTAAGGGGTGCGAGACTATATCAGAAGTGTTCTAGGGGTGCGGGGTATAGAAAAGGCTGGGAGCTGCTGTCCTGGAGGATTAAACCTGCTGTTGACAGGCTCTCATCCACAAGGTACCTGGAGGGACACCATCTGTAGGCCTTGTTGTGCACCTGCTCTCTGTTGGTGGACCAGAGAGTTTGGCAAACAGAGAAGATTAGACAGGCTTTCTATTTTATGGTGCTTGGATGGCTTAGTTACCTGGTGATAATCGAATGTAGGTAATAAGGAACATTGATAGCAAATGAAGCGGAACATAGATTTGTGAAATTGGTGGCTAGCTCCAAAAACTTTGCAGAATGTAGATGCACATTGACCGATTAGCTGGGCAAACCTTGAAACTAAACCTAAAAAAATGCAGGTTGTGTGTGTGTGTGTGTGTGTGTGCCAAAAAAAGACATTTGTGTTCTCAAAACTTTGATGGCAGCTTTAGAGCTGTAGAACAGAGGTCCCCAATCTTTTGGGCACCAGGGACCGGTTCCACGGAGAGAGGTTTTTCCGCAGACCAGAGAGTGTGTGGTTTTGTGTGCTGCCTGCATCCTGTGGATTGGGCTTTGCTTATTTGTGCGGACCAGTTGCTGGCATGCCGTGGCTCAGTACTGGTCCACGGACCAGGGGTTGGGGACCCCTGTTGTAGAGATCACCTGGTGTTAGCTGTTGATACAACCAGATTTATTTCTGATATTTTGCCAATTGCACAACATCTGGTGAACCTCCTGTTATTTAATTGGGATCTAATGGATGGATATTGTTTGCTTTCACTGAACCTGACTCTCATGTAGTTGAGATCTGCACTCACACACCCATACCCAGCCACAGATATGTATGTATGTATGTATGTATGTATGTATATATGTATGTGTCTTTATGTGTGTGTATGTATGTGTCTTTGTGTGTGTGTTATATATATTATATATATAATGTAGGTCTTTGGTTATTCGGGTTTTCTCCCGCATAAAATTAGAAGTGTCTTGGCTTGCCCACGAAAACCTCAGAAAACAAATATATATATATGTGTGTGTGTGTGTGTGTGTGTGTGTGTGTGTCTTTATGTGTGTGTGTGTGTGTGTGTGTGTGTGTGTGTGTATCAGACCACAACTACAGAGTCAGGTTCAGTGAAAACCAATTATTCTTAATTAAGAAGTCATGTTCTGTTCAATGGGATCTACTTCTAGATATCTAGTTACACAAAGGGATAACCTTAGTATCTCTTTAACTCAGGAATTGTTTCCTTGAAGACGTCATTTACAGTATGCCTTGTCTACTGATGCTGATCTGGGACTGAAGTTTCTCACTTTAAATACAACCCTGTTCCACAACAGTACATATATATGTGAAGAAGAGATAGGGAGAAACATCAGACTCCAATCAGTTTATTTACGTTTATTTTATGAAACAGCTCCCCCCCCCGATCTGGAATCCTTCAGGTGTGTTAGAATCATCACTGCGGGAGAATATCAAAGGACCTATCGCTCTCTGTGTGCACCATGTACCTATTATGGGCAGTGGTGGGTGCCAGTTTGCACCAGTTTGGCAGAACCGGTAGCTCATTTTTTGTTGCCCAGGCTCAGAATGGACTTCCGGAAGCGGCATCCACACAGAGAACCGGTTGTTCACCTATTTGAATCCCACCACTGATAATGAGCTGCTAGAATAACTTTGGGAGCCTATGTCTACCCACATACATCTTGTATATGTGTAAAGCTCCAGACCACAAGGTGGAGCACCGAATCTTTTCTAAAAATAAATATTTATGCACCCAGCAATTGAAAAAGTCCAAGCTACTCGACAACGTGGTTGCTCTGCTAAAAGAGATGCTTCAGCTACTAACAATGTTCTTTTACAACTCTGAGAAAAAGATGAGACATTGCTTAGAGGCAAAGCATTCAGATTTCACCTTCCCAAAGTAAACCATCTATTAATTATAATTAAAAGCAGGTTCCCCCATCACTTGTAAACCACTCACTGCTGGCTTGTTTCGGATCTGGCTTAGTTCCTGTATAGAGAGAACCACTGTGGTTTGTTTATGGTTTAGTGATATATATGTACCTTATTCATATTCCTGTGATTAAAAAAAATCATGGCTTAGTTCAAAGGTAAGAATTCATAATATTTCTTAAGAGCTGATTTCTAAGATTTGGCCAGATATTCAGCCATCGCTGAAGCCTACGAAATCTTGAAAGCTGCCTCTTCTCTCTTCACACACAAAAATACGAATTTAAGCTGGAGAAAGAACAAATGAATGTTTGTGTTCTCCTTTTTTTGTGGGGAGATCCCCAAGCGCTCTTCCCAAATGTTGAGGTGTGGAGGAAAACGCTCTCTTTGTGCACAGTTTTGCTTCTTCAGGTTAGAGCTCACAAATGAATGCTTTGATGTCCAGTCACGTGGTTTTTAAAAACAAGAGGAGGAAGCGCTGGGCAAAACACATAAGGGAGGATCAAAGCAAAGCAGCTGGATGTAATTTGCATCTTTGCAAGACCTTTTTCTAATGCAGCAAGTGTAGGAGTGTGAATCAAGGAAGCGAAATAGGATATTAAATTATTGCACCTTAGACATACGAGATAGAGAATCACAGGGCTGGAAGGGACCATGGATATTTTCTGCCACAGGGCTTTTCAACCTTTTCACCCATTGTGCCACTTTTAGGATATGGCAACATCCGAGTACCACCAGTCACCTAGCAAGGTGTCAAAAACTTGACCCCCCCCCCCAAAAAAAGGAAAAAAGTGATAAAATACAGGTAGTCCTTGACTTACAACAGTTTGCTTAGTGACTGCTCGAAGTTACAATGGCACTGAAAAAAGTGCCCCCCAAGCCACAGCCGAGCAAGACACCTGCCTGCCTGCCTGCCCAGCCGTGTTCTTACTCCTGTCCGAGGTTTTCATTGTTGTAAGCATTTCTGTTGAGGATTGGCAGTGGGGGTGGGGTGGGGGGTGTTTGTTTTTTATTCCCCTCGTCTGTTGGGTGATTGCAGCAGGTTTTGGTCACTTCACATGACCATGGGACACTGTGACCATCATAAATATGAATCAGTTGCCAAGCATCTGAATGTAAATCACAAGAGCCTGGAGATGCTGCAACATTCCAGCTGATCTGCACTTCTTCTGGGCTCAGCAGAAGTGCCAGGATCAGTGCTGCTTTCCAGCTGATTGGTGCTTCTTCAGGGCTCAGCAGAAGCACCAAGATCAGCACCGAGCTCCAGCTGGAGCCTGGCGCTGATCCTGGTGCTTCTGCTGAGCCCGGACACCCATGCAGCTCCAGCCATCTCTCGCTCAGGCTTGTGCAGTGCTGCCACCGGTTCAGCTCATTCCCCTCCCCCGCTACCACTTTTCTAGGATGGTCATGTACCACTTGCCAGGTGCCAATGTACCACAGGTGGTACCCGCACCACTGGTTGAAAAGCCCTGTTCTAGTCCAACCCCCTATCCAAGGCAGGAGTTCTTATACCATCCTTGACAAATGGTTGGCCAGTCTGTTTTTGAAAACCTCCAGTGATGGAGCACCCACAACTTCTTGAAACAAGCTGTTCCACTGGCTAGTTGTTCTTACTGTCAGAAATTTCTCCTTAATTGCAGGCTGAATGTCCCTCTTTCAAGCTTCCACCCATTATTTCTCGTCCTGCCCTCAGATGCTTTAGAGAACAAATCAACTCCCTCTTCCCTGTGACAGCCCTTCAAGTATTGGAAAATGCTATCGGGTCTCCTCTAAGCCTAAACATACCTAGTTTCCTTAGCTGTTCATCATACAATTCATCCTGTACACCCCTGATCATCTTTGTTGCTCTTCTCTGCACTCTTTCTAGGGCCTCAACATCTATGTTTGTATTATGGTGACCAGAACTTCCTTTACTTGATACTTTCCAAACCTGGGGAACAAAAGTGGAATATCTTGGTGGCCACCCATCAAAAGATTAACCTGGTCTGACTCTTCTTAGTTTATGAGATCAACCAAGTCCAACTTATTGGGGCCTCTGAAGATGTAGATGTGATTTAGTTGATTTTTTTAAAAGCTGGAGGGGGGAAGTCTGCTGCTTTTGAATAAAAATCAGGAAAGAACTTTAAAAGACAGAAGTTTTTCAATACATAAATAAGCCACAATGGCCATCAATACTTTCTTAGAGTTTTCATCTGATTGTTCCTTTTTTTTTTTTTTGGCTTTTTTGACATCCTGCAGACTTCCTTCCTTCCTTCCTTCCTTCCTTCCTTCCTTCCTTCCTTCCTTCCTTCCTTCCTTCCTTCCTTCCTTCCTTCCTTCTTTCCCAGATTTATTTTCTTTGAACTTAAACATCTCCCATTAGCTGCAGCTACACTTTGATATTTTAATTAGCTGTATCCGGATGGGGGAATGCATTTGGTTTCCCAGGGATGCTGCTGATAAATTCACTCAGTTCAGTGCTGGAGCTATCCGTCCAGTTCAGCTGTACAGTTAAACACACACACACACACACACACACACACACACAGAGAGAGAGAGAGAGAGAGAGAGAGAGAGAGAGAGAGAGAGAGAGAGAGTCATATTCAATCCATCTGCAGAGAATGCCTTGCTCCATATCATTGTCCCCAGCCAACCTAGGACATGTGACCTACAGCCACAAAAGAGCCTTCATTCTCTCACCCTGAAGTTAGTATTTCCTGTGGCTCTAGTATCTTTGGAGTAGAGCGTTTTGCCTGTCTCCATTGATAGACTGGTGGGAATGACAATTAATAGGCAATAAGCCCTATCTGAAGAATCACAGTGGTTCTGGCTGAGTTTGCTACTGATTTTCTTTCTTTCTTTCTTTCTTTCTTTCTTTCTTTCTTTCTTTCTTTCTTTCTTTCTTTCTTTCTTTCTTTCTTTCTTCCTTTCTCCTCCTCCTCCTTCTTAAAAAAAAAGGTGCCGGAACTCACACACGTTATACAATCCGCCTTGCCTACCCTACAAGGTTCCATCCAAAAAAGGTGCCGGAATGCCGTTCTGGGCATTCTACAAGGAAAAAAAGCCAACTATCTATCTATCTATCTATCTATCTATCTATCTATCTATCTATCTATCTATCTATCTATCTATCTATCTATCTATCCATTAATTATCATTCTTTCTAATTTACCAATTCTATATCCCGTCTCTCCTCCTCCTCCTCCTCCTCCTCCTCCTCCTCCTCCTCCTCCTCTTCTTCTTCTTCTTCTTCTTCTTCTTCTTCTTCTCCTCCTCCTCCTCCTCCTCCTCCTCCTTCCCCTTCCCCTTCTCCTTCTTCTTCTGCTCCTCCTGCTCCTCCTCCTCACATACATTGGAGGAACAGCAGAACACTGTGAAAGAAGACCACCAAAGTCTGTCTTTTTTTGGGGGGGGAGGATTGATGAAGAGGTCAGGTCTAGAAAAAAACAACAACCCAACGCTGCTCTAAATTCTCTTCCTTTCTCTGTTTCTGCTTCTTTGTGATGTAAGACGAGTTTAAGAACAACCCAGACAAAGAAAATCCAACCAAATTCTTTAATGCAATCCTTCACTGAAAAAAAAAAAAGAGAGAGAGAGCTTAATGCCTAAGAATGCAAGCCAGCAGTCCTTTCATCTATATGAATTTTTGTCTTTCCAGGTGCCTTCCTCATCCCTTACAGCCTTTTCCTCATCATCGCAGGAATGCCTTTGTTTTATATGGAACTTGCTTTAGGCCAATATAATAGAGAAGGGGCTGCTACTGTATGGAAAATCTGCCCATTGTTTAAAGGTAAATCCAAAATCTTCAGCCTACCTGGGATACTGAGGACGTTTCACCTATCAGTCCATGATTAGGTTCAGGGAGATCTGAGCATTTATTTACGTACCAATAGCAGAGAATCTTGGTAGCTCAGCTTGGTAGCTTGAACTGAGGGCTGAGCACCAAGGTGCTCTCTGAGCTTGGTGGTTTTCTTGCAAACGTTTCATGACCCAACTAGAGAACATCATCAGTGCTAGGAGGGAAGGAGTTTGAGGAGTTTGAGGAGTTTGAGGAGGAGGAGGAGGAGGAGGAGGAGGAGGAGGAGGAGGAGGAGGAGGAGGAGGAGGAGGAGGAAAGGACTGTGGGGTCCTTAGTGCTGTCTGAGCTTGGTGGTTTTTTGCAAATGTTTCACGACCCAGCTAGGTAACATCATCAGTTCTAGAAGGGAGTGGGCTTTGCAGGGGGGGAGGAGGAGGAGGAGGAGGAGGAGGAGGAGGAGGAGGAGGAGGAGGAGGAGGAGGAGGAGGAGGAGGAAAGGACTGTGGGGTCCTCGGTGCTGTCTGAGCTTGGTGGTTTCCTTGCAAACATTTCACGACCCAACTAGGGAAATCATCAGTGCTAGAAGGGAAGCTATCCTGTTCCTTACACCAAACCACCATACCTTTGTGTCAGATTTGTGCCTGGTGCCAGAGAGCAACGACATTTCTTTCTAATCTTCATGAAGGAGACGATCCCAAGGACGTTCAGTGCCCGACTTCATGCACAATCTCTTTTTCTCTTTGTCTTCAGGTGTGGGCTACGCAGTGATCCTCATAGCCCTCTATGTTGGTTTCTACTACAACGTTATTATTGCCTGGTCTCTCTATTACCTGTTTGCCTCCTTCTCGACGGGGGAGCTTCCTTGGAACCATTGTAATAATCACTGGAACACCCCCAACTGCACAGACCCTAAAGTCAATAACTCTGTATTTTTCAACATTAGCGCCAAGCTCAAGAATACTCCGGCGGCTGAATTTTACGAGTAAGTCTGTGGCTTCCAAGGGATTGCGTCTCCTGTAATGCCTGGATCTATTTCAGCGCGCACACACACACACATGTATACATATGTATATATAAATGGAATGAATAAAGCGCGTTCACCAGGAGAGTTTAAAGTTAAAATACTTTAATTAAAGTATTTTACTATATTAAAAGGTTGCCAAGCTTTCGTTGGGAAAACTCCCCAACATCTTCAGGGCTGAGAGACCGTTTCTAACAAGGTGATTCAAACGGGTTCCATAGACGTCTATGGAACCCGTTTGAATCACCTTGTTAGAAACGGTCTCTCAGCCCTGAAGATGTTGGGGAGTTTTCCCAACGAAAGCTTGGCAACCTTTTAATATAGTAAAATACTTTAATTAAAGTATTTTAACTTTAAACTCTCCTGGTGAACGCACTTTATTCATTCCATTTATAATTATGCCCAGGAGTCGCATTTTCACCATCATTATTGAATATATATATATATATATATATATATATATATATATATATATATATATATATATGTGTGTGTGTGTGTGTGTGTGTGTGTGTGTGTGTGTGTATGTATGTATGTATGTATATATGTGTATACATACACAATAAAAATAAATACATACGAGCACCAGGATAATATCAAACCAGAATTTATTTAATAAAAATGCTGAGCTTTCATCAGCCAGCACTGCCAAAATCATCAGAGCATGAAAGCAAGTCAATAAGAGTCCCCGGCCGGTTTTGCGCACAGCTCCTAGATCTAGTCATCGGTCCATCCAATATCCCTAATTGTTTTACTCTTAAAAGGTGCACATTTGCTGTTCCCTTGGTGGTTTATTCACCTTTTAAGAGTAAAATAATTAGGGATATTGGATGGACTGATGACTAGATCTAGGAGCCGTGTGCAAAACTGGCCAGTATCATAAAAAGAGGACTCCCATTGACTTGCTTTTGTGCTCTGATGATGTCGGCAGTGCTGGCCGACGAAAGCTCAGCATTTTTATTAAACAAATTCTAGTTTGATATTATCCTGGTGCTCATATGTATTTATTTTTATTGCATGGCTTTATCCAGGATTCGAATTTATATACACACACACACACACATTTATATACATATATATACATATACATACATATACATGTACATATACATAGATAGATAGATAGATAGATAGATAGATAGATAGATAGATAGATAGTTTTTCAGACAGACAGTCTGATTGATTGCACCTTGGCATTTTGACTGCTATAGTGCAGTTCTACTTATAATCACTTTTGCCTTGCAGCCCCCCCAACTAGGGGCGTTAAGCAGGCTCAAGTCGCTACTGCGATGCATTACAACTTCAGATTTCTTTTTGCTGACAAGAGTTAAAGATTTTAAGTAGGAGACTAGTATAGCTTCGAATCCCATAAAAGAGATGTGGCTAGCTGATGAGGACAAATGAGTCCAAAATAGCTATACTAGTCTCCCACTTAAAAATCTTTAACTCTTGTCAGCAAAAAGAAATCTGAATATATATATATTTACCTTGAGTGTTTTTTGATGCACTCTGTCGACCCAAATATGGGAGAAAGAAATCTTCTTTCTTTTTCTTTTGCCTGTATCAGCTCAATCTAGAGCCATCCACAGGCAGCAGTCGCCAACTGCGACATTATTTACATATACATATTTTTAGATTGCTAACAAAAAATAAAGGGAGAACTGGAATAACTATTTTGAGCTTCTTAACTCTCTTCAGCCAGACATACCCTTCTGAGATTCGAACCTGGGCTTTGTGCATGTTAGGCAGCTGTATTAACCTCTAGGCCACAGGCTCTTTCTCACTTTATCAGCTGTATCAGGGAGGGAAGAGACAGGGAGAGGAGATTTACCGTGAGTGTTTTTTGATGCACCCTGTCAACCCAAATATGGGAGAAAGAAATCTTCTTTCTTTTTCTTTTGCCTGTATCACCTCATTCTAGAGCCATCCACAGGCAACAGTCACCAACTGCGACATTATTTACATATACATTTTTTTAGATTGCTAAAAAATCTATTTTTTAAAAAAATCTAAATAGTGTGGGAGAGAGTTGTGGGCCTCTTCTATCTAATCCTTGTGGCTTCCCTCCATTCCATTAAATCCCCAAGGGGAGACACCACCATGAAATGTTTCCAGGTGGATTTTGAAAGTCAGTGTTGTGTAACACAAAGCAACATCTCTCATTACCTCTAGCTATAAAGTCAGCCTGGATACCTCACAAGGAAGGACAACTCTCAACAAGCTAGCAACTCTTTCACGGGGGGGGGGGATGGGGGAGAGAGAAAACTGTCTGAGAAACTTCAAAACAAATGTATTTATATCTACCGATGCATTTATATGTCTTTCTTGGGTCTTACGTCATTTCTGGCTTGTTTGCTTTATCCAGTTTAGGTTTTTGCTTATTTTTTTTCTTTAGGACAATGCCTTGTTTGTTTGCCATGCTTTGCGGATCCCTTTCTGAAATTGAAATTTAGAAGAAAGAGAGAGCATTGAGAATGGAAGAGAGATTGCAAAGAGAGAGAGAGAGGGAGAGCTGTCCAAAAATAACAGAACGAGAAGAAATAACATATCAGGGAATAAAAATGAAGGCACTTATACAGTTTGCCATTCAAACTTACCCACCTAGTGGTGCTCCATAGTTTGCCACATGCCTTCTCGGAGGGATCCAGAAGGATGCAGATGCTCCTCAGGAATATTTTGACCTCAAAGTCTGACCTTGCTAAGTGGATGCCTGAGATCTGTAGACCTCTGTCCTTCTCTGAGTGTCTAGGTTTATTATTTCTGGCTCCATCCTAAAGACCATGATGGGAAAAACAAAGGCGGTCCAACCACGAAGGCACGTCATGTTCTTTTAAATTCTGCTTCCTGTTTAGGCTTCACTTCCTAAAGAGTAGGCTTTCAATATTGGTCACAAAGAAAAAGAGAACCCACCACGGGGAGACAATAAGAGACCGGCCCTTCTACCTCCAATAACAAAGTCTTGTTTGTCAAGGCCTCTAACATCGTTTTGATGCATTCTTGAAAGAACCCTGTTACATCTCTAGAAATACTGGAGGATTTTGTCTACCCTTAAGAGATCCTCTTAAGCAATGCCATATCACCAAGATTATTGGAGGAGGGGGCAAGAGGTCCTCTGCTCAAGATCCCTGTGTAGGGTTGGAGTCACAGTGCACAGGCCAGGAATAGCATCTTCTCAATGGCAAATTCCTACGGAGGTCCTCAATCATTCCAGGTCACGGTTATCCCAAATGCACCTTTCCAAAAGACAAGTGGACTTTCTTGGGGTTTCCCCCCCCCCTTGAAAATGTTTCACTTCCTATCCAAGAAGCTTCTTTTTCAGTGAGGAAGAAAAACTGAACAAGCTTCTTGAATGAGAAGCGAAATGTTTTCAAGGGAAAAAAAAACAACCCCAAAAATATGGGGTTTCCCCGTCCCCTTGAAAATGTTTTGCTTCTCCTCCAGGAAACTTCTCCTTCAGTGAAGAACTGAAGAAGAAACTTCTTCAATGAGAAGCAAAATATTTTCAAGGAAAAAAACCAGTGGTGGGATTCAAATAGGCCAGACATGTCAAACACAAGGCCTGGGGGCCATATGTGGCCCACAAAGTGGTTTCAGGTGGCCCGCAAAGCCATCTTGGAAACAGTGAGGGAACGGCCCCCACTACCTTGGCCCTGGCCCAGGCCAGCCAGGAGCCAATGTACAATTTTGTGGTGGCTATCTTGGCACTTGCCCTGGTGGACCATGCCTTGGCACTTGCCCCGGTCCCACCCACTTCTGCCAGAGACCCTCAGATCTGTCCCACTCCTGCCCAGGCCCCCACAGGCACCCTTGATGCAAATGATTTAGAACGCCATGCCCACCCAATAGGCCACACCCACTCCATCCACGCCCACCCAGTAGGCTGCTGCCACTCTGGCCACACCCATCCAGCCCCCACCAGGGCAACCGCAATGCTGATGTGGCCCTCAGTGAAATTGAGTTTGACACCCCTGAAATAGGCGAACAACCAGTTCTGTGCATGGATGCCACTTCCGGAAGTCCATTCTGGGCCTGGGCAACAAAAAATGAGCTACCGGTTCTGCTGAAGTGGTGCGAACTGGCTGAATTCCACCACTGAAAAAAAACCAAGAAAGTCCAGTTGCCTTTTGGAAAATTTGTCAATAGCAGTTTCCCACATAGGTCATGTTTAACTTTCTTAATTGAAGAGAATCTCTGGGTAGAAGATACCTATACACAAGTTTTGGCTTCTGTTGCCTTAAAAGTTCTGCATTAAGCAAATCTCCTGGGTGTATTCTAGTGCTTCAGAACTTTACAAATTGTACCGGTATAGACATTTAGTGGGAAAAAAACCACAGCTCATTGGCTTTAATACCCAAGGTGATCTTGATAGCATCTAAATCAGTGGTTCTCAACCTGTGGGGTCGCGACCCCATTTGGGGTTGAACGACCATTTCACAGGGGTCGCCAAACAACGCAGTCCGCCATTTTTTCCCCTTTTCCTTAGCTGTGCTACTCCCTTTTATTCTATTGGCTTTTGAAAGCCAATAGAATAGACTCTCTTGAATAGAGTCTAATTCTATTGGCTTTCCAAAGCCAATAGGAATTGTTCAGGCTGTCTCTGCCCTGCTGAGCCCGTCAAAAGTCCCATTCTGCAAACGGTGCTGCACCAGTTGAGTAGTCCTCAACTTACAACCGGTTGGGGGTCGCAGCATTAAAAAGGTTGAGAACCACTGATCTAAATCAATGTGTTGGCCATCCTAAGCTCCTTGGAGAGTGAATTATTTGTGGGGAAATTTCCTCCTCTTTGGAAACTTTGGGACTGATGCCCAAATCAACAGGAAGACATGTCATGTCCTGCTCTTTTATTTTCTGTTTCTCTCAAAAAGGGAAGCCCTGATTCTGGAAATGATTTTGCTCATCTCAGTTAAAGTAGGTGGTGCCTCTGCAGGAGAATAGGGACAGGCAACCACATTCCCCACCATATTAGATGACCTAATTCTTCTTCTTCTGCCCTTTTTTGGCTAGGCGGAGAGTTCTGCAAATTAGCCGTGGGATTCATGAAATCGGCCAGCCACGGTGGCAGCTGGTACTGTGCCTCTTGGTGGTAGTCATAATCCTGTTTTTTAGCTTGTGGAAAGGTGTGAAGACCTCTGGAAAGGTAGGACTATGTTTGTGTTTAATTTAAAACTTTAATTTAAAACTCTTTTGATTCCATTTGGATAGCTAGAGCAGCATGGAATGATCGTAACGCAGTAATACCAGTGATAGATAATTTTCCTAATAAATTAGGATTACCAGATCAAGGCTGCCAAAGTCCAGGTGAACACGCAATGGTGATAGCCCCAAAGATGCTTTTCCCAAAAGGCAACTGAGCTTTCTTGGTTTTTATCTTCGAAAACATTTCACTTCTCATCCAAGAAGCTTCTTCAGTTTTAGCTGTTCTTCAGTTAGAGTTGAAGAAGCATCTTGGATGAGAAGCAAGATGTTTTCAAAGAAAAAAAAAACAAGAAAATCCAGTTGCCTTTTGGAAAAAGTACTTTTTGGACAATCATAACCCGAATGGTTGAGAATCTCCATAGACATCAATGGTGGTAGGCCATTCTTAACAAGTATGAAGGGACTTTGGTGTCAGAATAAATTATGGAAGATATTTTTTTGGAAGTCATGGAGACTCCCATATCAACCATATTAGACAAGATAAAACAAATAATCTGGTTCAAGAGATAACAGCTTTCTGTGTTCCTAATAGAGATTTGCATTTTTAATCAACATTTACTATTGACAGATGGATCCTTTTGTTTTAATGTGTTGATCTTACAGGTTGTATGGATAACTGCTACGTTGCCTTACATTGTGCTGTCTGTGCTGCTAATTCATGGGTTAACTTTGCCAGGTGCTTATGAGGGAATCAAGGCTTATCTCAACATTGATTTTGGACGATTGAGAGAAGCTCAAGTAAGTGTTCTACCCTCCAACTTTCTGCTCTCTCAGTTGCTAAATTCCCATTCCAGAGATGATTGTAGTTACGATTCTCACGAAGAGACCAAATGTTCAAAGGAAATCTCATGAGATTCGTAACTGCAATCATTGACTTATTTTAATCAAATATAATATCGAAAATCCAGCTTGTTTAAAGATTCCTTATTTATGTTTCTTGGTTTCACTTCTCAGCAAAGTATGTCAGAAATAACTAGGACAGTGTGCATTAAAATATGAACCTCTGCAATTCTAGTTTGGATAATAATTTCTCAGGCAACCTTATTGTCTAGTCTAATGAAGAGAAAGACTAAGGGTAAAATGAAAGAGTCTTCCAGGACTTGAGGAGCTACCACATAGAAGAGGCGGTCAACCTATTCTCCAAAGTACCTGAAGGGATGACAAGAAGTAATGGGTGGAAGCTTATCAAAAAGAGAGTCAACTTAGAACTAAGGAGAAATTTCCTGACAGTAGGAACAATTAATTGATGGAATGATTTGCCTCAAGAAGTTGTGGGTGCTCCATCACTGGAGGTTCCCAAGATGAAACTGGACAGCCACTTGTCTGGACTGGTATGGGGTCTCCTGCTTGAGCAGGAGGTTGAATTAGAAGATCTCTAACCCTATTAGTCTATGTTCTATGCCTTCAGTTGCTTGAAGTTATTCAATGATGACCCATAACATCTTGAATGGACAGGAACCCATTCAATGGTTAGAGCAAAGGGGCGGAATGATGAAACACACCTCACAATATTGCAATGGAAAGCCTAGTCTTTAGGTTCTTGTGTGCCATGTTGTAACTCAAGTATGAAAGAGGGAGCTCGCCTTGTGCCATCACATCCCACATCTTGTTGTGTGGTTAGGAATGGACATTGAATGCCTGAAGGTATCCGAACTAAGCAATTGACAATGTATTCTGTAGAAGGGGGGTTATATTTTCACTGAATCTCCAGCAGGAAATGAACATTAGTGGAGCAGAAGTCTGATGTTTGACACTGAATGTCTTCTTCAGAAGAAGGAGGAGCCGTTGCTTCTCAAATCAGGAAGTGGCTTTGTGCCATTGTTCTCCAGAAGGAGCTTCCTGCAAACATCTGGGTGTCTGTGGATGATCTCCAATTGTTTTCTTTTCCCTCGGCTGTAAATCTATAATTTATTATGTGCAAGCAAGCATCACACACCAGCACTGTGCCAGAGCAATATTTGTAGCAAGGCGACACTGGAGCTAAGAGGAGAGACCGACTGGCTGGCTGGAACTTCTTGTAAAAATATTTAGTTAACTAGAAATAGTTTGGGATAATCACCCTGGGGAGGACGACTCACTGGTGAAGTCAATAAACAGCATTTGTGCAGAGTAAAGAGTTGAGGAGGAGAACATTCTGGTGTACATGATCGGCAGAGAAGATTTCTTCATGGGGTTAATGTAAAGGTTCATTAAAGATGAAACAATAATGTGATATTTTTCCTGCTGAGAATGGATGAACAATGATATATTGGTGATAGAAGAATTAGACTCTCTCCGGACAAAGGGATAAATCCAAGGTTTAGAATAGAATACAGCTGGAAGGGACCTTGGAGGTCTTCTAGTCCAGCCCCCTGCTCAAGCAGGAGGACCTATAGCATTTCAGACAAATGACTGTCTAGTCTCTTAAAGATCTCCAGTGATGGAGCGCCCACGATTTCTGGAGGCAAAGCTGTTCTACTGGTTAATTGTCTTCACTGTCAGGAAGTTTCTCCTTAATTCCAGGTTGCTTCTTTCTTTGATCAGTTTCCAATCATTGTTTCTCATCCTTCCTTCTGGTACTTTGGTGAATAATGTGAACCCCCTCTTCCTTGTGGCAGCCCCTCAAATACCGGAATACTGTTATCATGTCTCCCCTATTTCTTCTTTTCTTTAGACTAGCCAATCCCAAGTCCCGCAGCTGTTCTTCATATGTTTTAGTCTCCAGGCCTTTGATCATCTTAGTTGTTCTTCTCTGAACTTTTTCCAAACTCTCAACATCTTTTTTTTTTGTGATATGGTGACCAAAATTGGCTGCAGTATTCCAGGTGTGGCCTCAGTAGGGTTTTATAAAGCAGTACTAATACCTCATGTGATCTTGATTCTATGCCTCTGTTTATACAACCCAGGATTGTATTAGCTTTTCTGGCTGCTGCTGCACACTGCTGGGTCATGGTCAAGTGATCGTCCACTAGGACTCCAAGGTCCCTCTCACAGTGGCTGTTTTTCAGCCAGGTCTTGCCCAATCTTTTGTTAATGTTCATGTTCACGTTCATGTTTGTTAAGGTTATTTATGCCTTTGACAGACTTGTGGCCTGTCCTGCTTCAAGAGCTTCAGGCAGTTTCCATGGAGGTCTCCTAGCTGAGCTGGGAGAAAATGGCCAAAAGTCATTCATTCAGTTTTCCTCTATCAGTGAAAAAAGCTTCGCCGTAGTTTCTGAGATTTCTGAACCAGGCAGTCCTCCACTTACGATCCCAGCTGGGAGCAGAATAAGCAAGGATAAGCAAGGCGGTGATTAAATGATTCACGCCTGATTTTCTGACCTTTTTTTTTGGCCACAGTTCTTAAGCAAATTACTGCGGTTGTTAAGTGAATCACACAGAAGCCATTAAGCTTCTCCCCCACCCCACTGACTTTGCTTGTTGGAAGTTGGCAGAGAATGTTGCAGATCACATGACCCTGCGATGCCGCAGACGTCATAAATACCTGCCGGTTGCCAAACATCTGAATTTTGATCACATGACCGTAGGAATGCTACAATGGTCGTAATCATGAGGACCAGTCACACATCCCTTTTTTTCCCAGTGCCATTGTAACCTCAAACAGTTGCTAAACAAATGGTTGTAAGTCCAGGACAAATCTATATTCTTGTCCGTTCTTCTTGCCTCTTAACCCAACAACAAACAAGCACCTTAAAAATACGTTCACAATTCTCTTTATCTAGGTATGGATTGATGCTGCTACTCAGATATTTTACTCCTTAGGAGCTGGATTTGGTGTCTTAATTGCCTTTGCAAGCTACAATGAATTCCACAACAATTGTTACAGGTAAGTTGTTGTGCTGGTTTAACTTTGGGCGGGTCTTTAATCTTTCTCTTGTTTTTTTTTTTAATTTTAAAAAAGCTATTTTCATACAAGGAGACATCACTTAGAAAATAAGAGTGTACCAAAAAGGAAACCAGGCTGCCAAAGAACACAGTAACTGGACACCATCAGAGCTGACACCAGCCAGGGCGTAGAACAATTCGAAGGAGTGCAAGATTGGAAGAAGTGGAGAGGCCTGACCCATAGAATCACCAATGGACTTGAGTGAATGGATAGAGTAGAATGGAGCTGGAAGGGATCTTGGAGGTCTTCTAGTCCAGCCCCCTGCTCAAGCAGGAGGACCTATAGCATTTCAGACAAATGACCGTCTAGTCTCTTCTTAAAGATCTCCAGTGATGGAGCGCCCACGATTTCTGGAAGCAAGCTGTTCTACTGGTTAATTGTCCTCACTGTCAGGAAGTTTCTCCTTAATTCCAGGTCTAGCCTCTTTTTAAAAACCTCCAGTGATGGAGACACTCACAATTTCTGATTGTCCTCATTGTCAGGAAGTTTTTCCTTATTTCCAGGTTGCTTCTCTCTTTGGTCAGTTTCCAACCATTGTTTCTCGTCCTTCCCTCTGGGGCTTTGGTGAATAAGGTGACCCCCTCTTCTTTGTGGCAACCCCTCAAATATTGGAATATTTGATGGATAATATCATCATCCTCTCTCACCATTTCTGATCTAAAGGAGCCTCATGGGGGGACCTTTCTCACAATCCCATGCCTTGGGATTTCATGGAAGTAAAAGAAGATGGGAAGACTGTAGACTACTTGAGGATGGAAAGGATACTAAACCATGGATGGAAACTAATCAAAGAGAGAACTCAACCTAGAACTAAGGAGAAACTTCCTGGCAGTGAGAACAATTAGCCAGTGGAACCACCTGCCTCCAGAAGTTGTGGGGACTCCATCACTGGAGGCTTTTAAGAAGAGACTGGACAGCCATTTGTCTGGAATGGTGTAGGGCAGGGGTGTCAAACTGCCAGCCCACGGGCCGGTTTCATCATACCGGAGCCGCGCCCACCCCATTGCTGGCAATAGCGAAAAAGCTCCGATACATTGCGCGACGTCATGTGGCGTCATGAGTTTGACATGTCTGGTGTAGGGTCTCCTGCTTCAGCAGGGGGCTGGACTAGAAGACCTCCAATCCTATTATTCTGTGTTCTATGTCTTCAGTTATTAAATGATGACCCATAACATCTTGAATGGAGATGCTCTAACCATTGAATGGAGATTCAATGATTAGAGCAACGGGGCGAAATGATGAAAGAGTTCTTTCCAACACTGTTATACTGTTATTTGTTATCTAGTTGATTAGACAAATTCCCCTTCACACACCCCATAACGGTGAGATTTGAAGAACACTGCTCCACCAAATCTTCAAGCCCCAAAGATCTCCTCAAGGAGAGGGATCATAAGCCATTTATTTTCCATCACATTAAAAAAAAAATGGGGAAAAAGGCTAGATATTTCTGGTGGGTGGACATGCAAGCCACCTATTCATTCAAACTTGGGTTTATGAAACCAGAAACCAGCTCCTGCACCCGTTATGCAGAACTGAATCCATGTTTTAATTACCATCCTGATAGCTTGCTTTCCATTAGAATTTGGCTGGGTCTCTTTAGATGTGTATCATGCAATAGTCGTGACACCTCTAATCACACACGCTTATCCAAATGACAGCCATCTGCCTTTGGAATTAGATTGCCATTAATTGTAGCCAATCACTAGGAGGCACGCCGGCGGGGGGGGGGGGGGAAGGAGAGAGAAACGAAACATTTCCGGCATAATTGCTTTTATCCTGTAATCGGAGCAAATTTACCATGCAACATTTTAAAACACACCCACAAAATGAAAAGGCAACCTCACCCGAACTCTAAATGAAAGGAAGGATGACCTTTCCTTAAGGCAGTTTTCCCAATTGTGTTAACTTGTTTGGTGATCATGCAGTGTGCTTTCTGGCATTTTGCTAGTGTTTCTCTTTCCTTGCCAAACAGAGCAATTTGCTCTCTTTCTGAAATATTTATTTCTGTTTAATCCTGGAAAACAATGTTTGCTTCCGAGACAAGAGCAAAGATTTGGTCTGTAGTTGTTTAATCAGTTCCGTTCCAAATTGATGGTGAGTCTAGTTAATCCAAGATACTTTTTTTTTAATGGATCTGGTTTTTGAATTCGGATTTATAAATAATGTGAAATCAAAGTAAATGCAGTGAAACAAGATTAAAAAAAAATAAAAACAAAAACAATATTTTATCCCAGATCTTACTTGTTCCTCGCTTCACTCACAATTCTTGCTTTTTCTTTAGCCCGGTGTTTTGAATATTGCTTGACAAACTAATCCAGAATTAAAATCCTACTCATATATGATGTCGTAAAGATCAGGTTGGTCCCTAAAATGTGGGGAGAAAAAAAGGAGAAATGTGTAGCAATTTCATCTATCTCAGTTTTGCTTCTCGGTCTACCAAAATGTCACTGAATCCAGCTTTTTTTTCTTTAAAAATATTGAAAATGCCTTTTCTTTATTGTCCTCTTCTTCCCCCCCCCCTCCTCAATTTTTGGTTCTCCTAGGGATGCACTGATGACTAGTACAATCAACTGTGTCACCAGCTTTATCTCTGGTTTTGCCATTTTTTCTATCTTGGGCTACATGGCTCATATATACAAAGTCAGCATTAAAGATGTGGCTACAGAAGGTAAGATGGTTTCTTCCACGCAACCCCATCTGCCCAGCGAATAGTTTCCCGTAAAATATCCTGTATTATCCATGGCTCCTCTATTCTTCTCTTTGTGATATAAGAAGAGTGCCTAGTTAAACAAACTAGACGTGTCCGAAAATGTTGAAGAGATACTTGTCCTCTGAATTAAATTTCTGAGAATCTTGCCTGTGGGTCTTAGTCTATGTTTTCTTTTTTCTTTTAAAAAAGAAGCAAAAGAAAACAAAAAAAAAAAAATCCCATTCTAAATTGGATTTAGAGAGAGATTTCAGGGTAGTAACGGTTTTGGAAGGGGGGAGCATAGTGACACCTATGGACCAGTCACAAGTATTACAACAAAGGATATTATGCGTTATTCAATCAGATCAAAGCAAGGAGAAAGGATGGTGTGGAATCAATTTACATTGATTAAAGTGTATTATAGACCTTAAAAATGCATATTTTAATATCTCAAGTTTATAAAATACAGGAAACCCAAATTTTCTTCTTTTTTAGGAGCTGGGCTGGTTTTCATCCTTTATCCGGAAGCTATTTCAACCCTCAACGGATCAACTTTTTGGGCAATTGTGTTTTTTATAATGCTGCTTAGCCTGGGCATAGACAGTTCTGTAAGTATTCTGTAAGAGCTGTAATGGTGCAGTGATTAGAATGCAATATTGCAGACAAACTCTGCCCACTGCCAGCAGTTCGATCCTGACTGGCTCACTGTTGACACAGCCTTCTACTCTTCCAGGTTCAGTAAAATGAGGACCCAGATTGTTGGGGCCATAGACTTAGAGAAGGCTGTAAAACACAGTGAAGTGGTATATAAGTCTAAGTGCTATTGCTATTGCCCTTCCTTCTATCCATCCACCCATCTATCCATCCATGGTGGCACAGTGCTTAGAATACAGTATTGCAGTATTGACTGACTCTGCCCACTGCCAGGAGTTCGCTCAAGGTTGACTCAGCCTTCCATCCTTCTGAGGTCATTAAATGAGGACTCAGATTGTTGGGGGCTGCAATATGCGGATTCAGTAAACCGCTTAGAGAAGGCTGTAAAGCCCAGTGAAGCGGTATATAAGTCTATTGCTACTGCTATTCCTTGCTATTTCTTTATTTTTCCTTCTGTTAATATTTCAGTTCTGAACTATTTTAATTCTAGAATTAAAGAGACAGGGGAGCGAGGGTTTGCACAATATAGGTAAGATGGTGTAGTTGAAACTCTGTTTTTCACACTTCTATCACACTATTCAGGCTGCCATCTTTATTGTTTTAACCAACCCTAAAGATGTCCCTGTAGAGACATTCCACAGGCCAACTTGGTACTCTGACTAGCCAGCATTAAAACTGAATGACACAGTAGGGGAATGTTGGTTTGTTCCAGCCAAACCACTCTTAGGTTGTCAACTTTGGATGAGATGTGTCTCCTCTCTTTCTCCCCAAATTAGATGGGTGGCATGGAAGCCGTCATTACTGGCTTGGCAGATGATTTTGAGATCCTGAAGAGAAACAGAAAGCTCTTCACGCTTCTTGTCTGCATTGGCACTTTCCTCCTTTCTCTCTTGTGCGTATCCAATGTAAGTGCACTGTTTGGAAGGCATTCCTTTGCCAATCAAATAAAGTGAAATGGAGGTGGAGGTGTGTTAGTAACAATAGAAGAGAATAGTTGTAACTCAGAGTTGAACTGTGGGATCCTTGGTGCTCTCTGAAAACAGATATTGTTTTCTTGCAGATGTTTCATTATCCAACTGGCAACATTATGTGTGATATCCCTTCCTTCCTTCCTTCCTTCCTTCCTTCCTTCCTTCCTTCCTTCCTTCCTTCCTTCCTTCCTTCCTTCCTTCCTTCCTTCCTTCTTTCCCTCCCTCCCTCCCTCCCTCCCTCCCTTCTTCATGGTCCTCTCTGAGCTTGGTAATTTTCTTGCAGATGTTTCATTACCCAATTGACAACATTATGTATGATATCCTTTCCTTCCTTCCTTCCTCCCTTCCTTCCTTTCTTCCTTCCTCCCTCCCTCCCTCCCTCCCTCCCTCCCTCCCTCCCTCCCTCCCTCCCTTCCTTCCTTCCTTCCTTCCTTCCTTCCTTCCTTCCTTCCTTCTCCATGGTCCTCTATGAGCTTGGTGATTTTCTTGCAGAAATTTCATTATCCAACTGGCAACATTATGTTATCCCTCCCTCCCTCCCTCCCTCCCTTCCTTCCTTCCTTCTCCATGGTCCTCTATGAGCTTGGTGATTTTCTTGCAGATGTTTCATTACTCAACTGGGTAACATTATCTGTGGTTACCTCTTCCCTTCTACCAGTAGCATTGATTATGTTACCCAGTTGGGTAATAAAACATCTGCAAGGAAACCACAAAACATAGAGAGCACTAGGGACCCCATAGAGGTGTGCTAAGTATGCAAGGTCCAGTTCAAATGGCTTGACCAATAGTTAAAAGGGGTTTGATGCACAGCATCTAAGTTAGCCTTAGGCTTGTCTGAGTTGGTGCTCACTTTTTCTGCAATGTTCTTCTTCCTAATGTGCATTTCATCATTTTCAGATGTGTAGGGAATATGGATGCCTTTTTCTACCTAAATGTTTTTCTCCTTTCTTCCCCACCTGTCAGTGTGGCGATCTATTACCTATCTAGCATGCATTTTATGTTGAATGTTCTTACCTTGTAGGAATTGATTTGCTTGTAGTTTAATGATTTTATCTCATTGATGCTTTATGTATATAGCTTCCTTAAGTTTTAACAGCTTAGGACGGTGTTAAACAGATAAATTGAATGATTCTATAAATAAGATGTTCTTCCTCTTTGTGCATTTGGTAAATGTTGGTGCCAAATTGTGTGTGTGTGTGTGTGTGTGTGTGTGTGTGTGTGGGTGTCTATTTGAACTAACGTCTTGTTTGCCTCCTATCTCTTGAATATTTTCTCAGCTCTAGGCAAATCTTCCTTCCTCTTTCTTTTTTTTTTTATTGAAAATTTTTAAATTTTACAAAACAATACGGTTCCCTTCCCCAAACCAACCCAACCCTCCCATGCCCTCCCCCGACCTTCCCAGAGCTGAATACAGGCTTAATTAATATTTTTTCAAAAAGTCTTAAAACAAATATAAACCATAAACAAATCTAAATACATTAATTAAAGAAATTGTAAACTAGTTAACAATAATATATGTATAAAAAAAACAAAAATACAAGGAAATACATAGGAAGAAAGAAAAAGGAAAAAAGTCTATAAAATATCTTAAATTTTAATTCTTTCTGTCAATGTCCTTATAGATGTAAGATATGCAGATTTAAAAACTGAACAATTAAAAATTGCACCACCCATCTGGGCCACAAATCTGGAGGCAGAATGAGAGGAATCCTGAGAGGTAGAAAAAACATTTGGTTTCCCAAAGATGCTTTTTTTTTCAAAAGGTAACTGGACTTCCTTTGTTTTTCCTTGAAGACGTTTTACTTTTCATCCAGGAAGTGGATCATCTGAAGAACTGAAGAAGCTTCTTGGATGAGAAGCGAAATGTCTTCAAGGAAAAACAAAGAAGGTCCGGTTGCCTTTTGAAAAAGCACCTTTGGGACAGCCATCACCTGGATGACTGAGAATCTCCTTAGACAGCCATTTGGTTTAAAAATAAGGCCTTCTTGTGCATCAAAGGAGGGAAAAGATCCATAGGGCCTGTTTTATATTCCATCTGCCCTTATTGACATTCATTCAAGTTTTGCTAGTGTTATAATGGGTGCTTATACATTTCAGGAACTGGCCCAAGCTTAGAGCATTCCACTGTGTTTTTGAAATTATAGTCAATTTATTTTTTTTATTTTTTGTAAAAAGTTTTTATTTTCAATTTTACAATACATTACACTCTTAAAAATTTATTTTTACAAGCTGTTTCCTTCGCATCATTTAGGGGGGGATCTACATTCTGACTCTGCTAGACACTTATGCGGCTGGGACCTCCATCTTGTTTGCTGTTTTGGTGGAAGCCATTGGCGTCTCCTGGTTTTATGGTGAGTGGTGAGAAGAGCAAGTTTAGCTCTTTTGTTTGATGACTACAGACAGACAGTGAGTCTGCCCCAAAGCTGGGTTTAAACTGTCCCCAGAGTCTTCATGAATCCTGCAGAGAAAACTTCCCCACAACTCCCTCAGGGGGAAGATGCATCTGAGGTATGGTTGAGGATCCATCCAAGGTCACATGGATGGATGCATTTGAGGGTGCTTGGTGCTCTCTGAGCTTGGTGGCTTTTTGCAGGCGTTTCTGTCAATGCTGCAAATATTGTATATTTTTGCTTTTGACAATATGCAGAATTGTCTGGTAAATATGGGGTTAATAAAGAGCAGAAGGGGCGTTGGGGGTAAAGCCTGGGAAAGAAAGAGGAAGAAAACATTTGACCTTCACACTAATTGGATAGTGTGAGATATGACGGCTAATTTAGGGAGGGAACACGCTGATAATTTAACTGCTCAGAGGAAGAGAACGTAGATCCTAGCATCCCTCCGTTGTGCCTGTGCCGACATTTTGTAACAATAAAAGACTTTTAGGAAAATAAATGACTGGAAGTTCTTTGGAATGTTTCATTAGCCGGAACCACAACATCATGCTAGGACCTCACATTCTTTTCAATGGGGTCCCGAGCCCCATCCGCTATCTCTGTGCTTGAGAGTGAGCCAACAGTTTCATTACCCAAACTAGATAACTTCATCAGAGCCTTGGCACAGATGATGTTACCTAGTTTGAATAATGAAACATCTGCAAGAAAACCACCAAGCTCACAGACTCCTCATTTCAGCCCTAAGCTACAACTATTCATGTAACTTCAAATAGTCACTAGACAACGAATCATAAGTCAAGGACTGCCAGGAAGGACTTATCTTCACTGCATAGTCTTCTTCATTTCAGTTTTAGGGAGAAATGACCACTCAACATCTGACAATAATTTTTTACCTTCAGAACGGCTTCTGTATGTCAACAGTCTCTGGACCGAAACATATAACCCCAGTATAAAAGAGATTAATCCTCCCAGAGGCAGACTTTCCTGATGTGTACATAAGCCATACCTCAGGCCACCTGAGGCCTTCTGCAAATTGAAATAAACACACTTGGATAACCTAGATTGTAGTGGCCGTATTCATTATGACTGCGATTTGCAGGGTTTACAAAACCGCCGCAAGGCAAACCTGGGGGAAATGGCTTCTTAATCACTCCTGTTCCTGCCAAGTTGTGAATGATAAAAGCCTGTTACTGGCAACCTCGGAGACTGGGAGCTGAGGTTTTCATGAGACCTTCAATTATGCTGTTCCCATCTTGTTGGGTAAATGGTTGTAATTGCAGGGCATCTGAGACTCAGCTAGGAAAGGTAGTTTCAGTTTTCTCCTTCCATCCGATGCTCAGTTGACAGCTTGTTTGGCTCTCCAGACGCACATCAGATTCTACAACTTAAGCCTTCTTCATCTATTGTTAGCAAGGAGGACTTTTGGGAAGTTTAATTCCACTGGCTCTGCCCTGTACTGACCTGGCTGGGCTTAGACATTTAGGAAAGAAAGACCCTCGGCTCCATCTGGTTGAAGTGACAGGTTCTTTTACTAAAGATAAGTGGTTGCAGCAAAAGTAGAGCTAGTTCTGAGTATTCCCACGCAAAGGTGACTCTTTCCCCCCTTTCCCTGGTCGTCCCCCCTTGACCAGTTCATCAGCGTCCAGTAGTTTTCCTTTGTGATGTTTTGAGAACTGCTTTGAGGTTTGGCACCTCTCAGTGTAGTTTGGCATTCTGTTCCCAGGCCATGTGTCCTTGGCAGCTGGCTCATTCCGATTAGACACCTGTGGTTCTTGTCAGCATGTCCCTCCCCTCCTTTGCTTGTCCTCCCATTCCCCAAATTCCTTCCCCCCCTCCCTTGCGTTTTATGGCAGGATGCCGGCAAAGCAAAGAAGCTGAAGATGGCAGGCCTGACATGGCCATTCAATGCTACCAAGAAACCCAGGTGCGGGAAGCACAGGTGCCTAAGCCTGTAGATGTTGGGGGCAACCTGGCTTGGAATGTTTTGAAACACATCTGAAAGTGTTTTTTATTTTTCTTCAACCCTTGTGGTCAATCTTCAGGTGTGGACAGATTCAGCGAAGACATCCAGCGAATGTTGGGTTTTAA